GCCGTGAGTGCACCCCTCTGGGGACACGTAGCAGGGCTGGCAGTGGGTGCACCCCCTGGGGACGCTCGGCATCCCACTGGGTGCCCCTTGCTCCCCATCGCTGCTCACAAAGAGCCCCGTGTTCCTGTGCCCCGACAGCATCCCCTCGCCGCAGCGGAGACGTTTAATGTATTCCAGCGCCTGCAGCTCATGAAATTTGTAATGCCACAACCGCGGTAATCCCTGTAATTAGAATTGGATAATTACGGCTCTGATTGCTCCCGGGCCGCTCCCTGCCAGATGTGCTGCAGCAGCCGGGGGGGGGGGGCCCACCGCCCCCCCTCCCCCCCCAGTCCTGCCTGAAGAGCCGCCTTTTGCCAAACACGGGTTTGTTTAACCAACACGGCGCTAATTAAAGCATTTTGTGTAACGGGCTGCGCCACGGGGGGGGGGACGACGAGGATGGAGCCGGGCAGCGCCAACCCGTAGGGACCCCAAAAGGGGGCTCGGGGAGGGTCCCAGGAGAAGGGCGAGGCGCGGAGCCGGCCCCTGCTGCCCTTCGTTAGCGCCCCCCGAGCTCATCAATCACGGCCGGGCCGGGCAGGGCCCCTCTGCCCGCAGCCGCGTTAATTGGGGGCTCGGCGGGGGGGCGGCTGCGGGGCACACGCGGCGCCTGCTGCGAGGCGGCACCCCGGGGCAGCGCGCCAAACAGGCCCCGCCCCCTCCAGCCAAGCCCCGCCCACTCGAGCCAGGCCCCGCCCCCTCGAGGCAGGCCCCCCTCCACCCGGCCCCGCCCAGTTAGGCCACGCCCCCGATGACAGAAGCCCCGCCCCCTACCGTTTAGCCACGCCCCCTCCTCGCAGGACCACGCCCAGAACCCCCGCTAAGCCCCGCCCCCCGCCAGCCCTGGCCACGCCCCCACCCCCGCCACGCCCCCTCCGCGCTGCTCTGGGCTCAGGGCGGCCGGAAGGCCCTCCCGAGGGGAGCCCGCGCGTCACTTCCGCCCGCTCGGTCCGGCAGCTCCAATATGGCGGCGTCCTGCGGTTCCTCGCAGCTCCCCGCCGCCGAGCCGCCGCTGAAGATCCCCAAGATGGAGGTGCTGTCGCCGGGCTCGCCGGGCGCGCTGAGCGACGGCAACCCCAGCCTGTCCGACCCGTCCACCCCCAGCGGCGCCTCCCCGCTGGGCCCGGGGCCGGCGGCCGGCGGGGCCGGGCTGGGGGGCGGCGGCGGCGCGGGGGGCCGCGGCGGGGCCTCGCCCTCCGTCTCCTTCTCGCCGGGCGGCGCCGCCGCGGCCGCCGCCGCCGCCGCTTGCCGCGGCATGTCCTGGACGCCGGCCGAGACCAACGCGCTCATCGCCGTGTGGGGCAACGAGCGGCTGGTGGAGGCGCGCTACCAGCAGCTGGAGGGCGCCGGCACCGTGTTCGGCAGCAAGGCCCCCGGGCCCGCCATGTACGAGCGCGTCTCCCGCGCGCTGGCCGAGCTGGGCTACGAGCGCACCCCCTCGCAGTGCCGGGAGCGCATCAAGGTACCCCCGGCCGCTCCCGGGCAGCGGGGGGGCGGCGAGCCCGGGGGTGTGGGGGGGGAGGCCGCAGGAGGGCGCCGGTATCTCCTGTCCCGGGGACTCGGGGTCGTGCGAGTCCCCCCGGCTGTTGGCTTCTCCTCGCCTGGAGCCACCCCCCCGGCAGCGTTGCCGGGCTGCGGGCGCTGCTGTGCCCTCGGGGTTCGGCCCTTAGGTTCCCCTCGAGTGGGCAGGGAGCAGCAGCCTCAGGGAGGCCCCGCGGCACCTTCCCGTGGGTGTGCCGGGCAGCCCTAGGTCCTTCTGCAGAGCCCCACGGCCCTGGGTGGGTTGGATTAGTCCCCTGATGCATCCTCCAGCGGCCCTTGGCCAGCGGTGGGGTGGCGTTGGCAGCGCTGTGGGGAAGGGAGCTTCTGCAGTGCTGAGGAGCGGTGTGGGTTCAGGTTGGCTGTGTTGAGTTTGCAGTCCTAACGTGGTTTGGGGTTCCCTTCACAGATGAGAAGCTCTCTGTGGGTTATGATCACGCAGAGCATGCTGCAATCTCAGAAAGCTTCTCTGACAATTAAGCTGTGTTACAGCTGTGTTTCGTTTGGTGGTAGGTTTTAGAGGGTTGGCTTTCCAATCTCATCATTCCTTAGCGAAAAGGAAAAGGTTGGGTTCCATTTGGGAGTAGATACTCAGTGTGCCATGCTTTTACAAAGGGAGCTGCGTTGAGGACCACACGGTGGGGTGGAAGGGACGGCACAGGTCCTGCAATGGGCAGGCAGTGGTGCCCCAGCAGTGCCCGCAGTCCATAAGAACCGCTACAGGTTTCAGTTCATAAGTGTGAATGAAACTCAGCAAATTAAATGCACTGAGTTCCCTCAAGGCTTTTGTTTTACCCTCTTATGACCCATTAGGTCGTCTGTGCAGTCACTTGAAATGTTGATTGATTAAAAAGTAACATCTTGTTATCTCTTGTTACTGCTGGGGATCAGCAAGGACGTTTGCTCCTCTGTGCCTTGTTTTAGCCACTAAACACAGCTGTGCTGGCCCATCCTGTCTGGAATTGTCCAGGCACATGTACCCAGGTCTTTGATTTGCAAAGTATGTGGAGAAAGGGACTCTGTAATTCTGCAGTACTGATAAAGAAGACCAGTGGCAGTTATGTCTTGTAGACAATTACATGTGCTGCCGAGCATCCTGAGAGATGCTCAGGAATAAGCCAGAAGGGGACTCGCCTTCAACATCTACCTGATAATTAGATCAGCATGCATCTTTGGAAAGATGATTGAAATGAAGCAAAGCCCCTTCCTAAGGATGTAACGGTTACTTAATATATTTTCGCGTGTCATCTCTTTGTCTCCATGCATTTGCTGTTTAGGGCTTAATTCCCCAAACGCATCAAAATGTGTTTGAGAGAAATGTTGCTTTTAAGCAGATACTTCATCCACTGCAAAACTTCTGAAAGTCCCTTGTTTTCTGAGCAACTTCCAACGTAAATTGTTTCTTCCACAAAACTGGGACACCCTGGGTTTTGCTAGAGTCCAATGCATGATGGAAAAACTACTTCAGGTAGTTTTCCTCACCTGTAAGGCTCTGATGATTTTTAGTTGTTGCAGCAGCTCCTGCAGAGGTTGTTGAGGACTGCTACTGTAATTCTGACTGTAGGTTCTGCAAGCAGTTGCCTCATGGGATGCAAAGCGAGAGAGAAGCAAGGAGAAGCCTTGCTACCAGAGCAGCCCAGAGCTGGCCGTCCTGGTCATACAATGCTTTTGGAGGATGCTGGTCAGGGGCTGTGGCTGGTGAAAGTTCCCCTCTTCCCAGCAGTTGGCTACTTTACTGCAGGAGAGACTTCTCCCCCATTGAGAAGTGCTTCAACAGATTTGTTGTCAATGAAATGCTTAAGTTGCAAAGAAACCATAAGTTGTGTTTTCATATGTATGTATCAAAGAGATTAGAGGGAATGAAAGACTACGAGGCTTTTACTTTTCATGTTGTGATAGCTTCAAGAGCACCTCTTGAAAGATCTGTCAGGCATTTGTCTACAGATTCTTCTAGATCGATGCACCCTGCGTCCTCATGGAGTCTGAAATAACACACCCCACAGCATCTGGTTAAAAGGCTCAACATACAGGGGCTGTCTGTTTTCCATTGACACGCTGTCCTAGACTATTCGGTCGTGGGCTTTCTGCCAGCACGGCCAGGTGAACAGCAGCAGTTTGATGTCAGCAAGGAAGGCTCCTCACTGCAGGCTTTCGTCATCCTGTGCACGTCCTGGAGCAGGGCTAATGTCTTACCCTGTGCCCAGTGGTGAGGTCCTGCTGGTGCTCGAGTTTTTGCATATCCTGGATCCATGCTGGTGTGAGGGTCTTGGAGATGCAAAAACATTGTGATGGTGGAGCTTTAACAAAGCCTTCGGGCTTGCAGTAGGTTTTTCAAGAATTGCTGTAAAATGAGCGCTCTTTGAAAGCTGAGGTTTTTGAGAGAGCCAAGAGTTGACGTTGTTACGGGAATTATTGAAGTAGTTGCAGTAGCTGCTGCCAATCCTAAAATCCTGTTTTTTTGTAGAATTCCAGGCAGAATTGGCTGCTTGGCTCTTTCATGCTCAACCGAGGGTGAAAATCACTTCTGGATGCAGAGTGGTTGATGTTTGAAGGTGCTCTTAAGATGGAGCGTGAAGACTTGGACTTGCTGCGGGAACAAGGGCAGGTCACAGGTACTTCATAGTCTTATGCTGTCGGTCGTCAGAGCTAAAAGCAGAGCCAAGGGTGGTGGTGATGAATGAATGCTTAGTTGCATCATTCCACTTGCCTTCTTGTAGTCATAATGTTCTATATTTCCATGACTTTATAAGATACTTTGACTTAATGTCCCTCAAGGGAGAGTACTGTAAGTATTTGCTGATTGATCATAAGTGTAAATCATGCTTAAAATGTTTTGGACCTGACTTACCTTATAAATACACTTTAGATAAGAACTCTATATTGGCTTTCTTCAGGACACCTAATTCCTGGGCTCTGCCAAATCTTGAAAAGTGAGTTAGAAATGAGTGGAAAGGAAAAAGTCACCTCTCTGAAGAACAAAGTTTTCCAGTTCTCCAGTTGTATTACATATATGCGTTCTCTTCTAATTCAAACAGGATGTAAAGTAAGGTCCCAGTTCAGATCTTCTCTGTTTCTTAACATCTGCATGTGCTTTTCTGCACATAAGCAGTGCTGGTCTGCAGTCTGGAAATGAGACTGCTGTTCAATTTGGCCACTCCTGAGTGTCTGTTTCAAATTTGGGGATTCACACGTAACGGTTCCAACAACTATTCCTAGTTTATTTCTGCAGAAAGAGACCTTGAGCCTGACTTCCTTGCTCTGATGTGTGTGGACAAGTTAGCTCAGCGATCAGGAACTGCAGAAGAACTGAAGCATCTTGATTTCTGCCGGTTGGGTTCCCAGAAGCTGTGTTGTGCTCCATAGTTTCCTCATCCTGGCATGCCAAGCTGTATCCTTAATCATGACTTGTTTGGTAATATGCTCCGACTGTTCCTACGACTGTGGTCTCACAGCTCTTGTTAAAGAATTGTTTACTAAAACACATGTGCTTTTCCTCCAGCCCTGCTCCTCTTTGCAAAGTATGTTTTTATTCAGAAATGATAATGAGGGAATTAGCCTGGCTCAGCGTCTGTGTGTCCTGAAACTGGTCCCTCTATGCAGCGGTGTGGAGCATCTTCAGCTCTTCGGTTTGACCTTATAACTATTTTTTAAAAGCAAAGGAATGGGATATTTTGCAAAACCCTTCCCGGATTTATATGCAGTAACTTCTGTTTTGTGCCCTTCACCTAGCAGTGCTGTTACTTCAGCCAGAGGGCAGGCGGTTAGCTACTGACTGGGGTTGCAAAGGGCAGAGGCTGTCAACTGCAGAAAAATGAGCTTTCACTTAGTGCTCTGAAGTTTCCATATGACGGCCAAAAAAGCTGATATATCCAATATGTATGTTCTGTCATCGCTTTCAGTCACATAATGCACTTGAACATCGCCGTTTCATCCTCTTCCAACCTCTGCATGTGGCTGCGATGTCCGGCAGAGGTGGATGCTCTAGGGAAGTGCAGATGAGCTCAGGCTTTACGGTTGCCACTGACCAGTGTGGCATAGCATGAGCCATGCAAGTCAAGGACAATTTTCAGGAAATTATTTCATTTTTTTAAAGGATTGTTCTGTAAGTCCTGCAGCTGTTTTTCAGTACTGGAGCTTGTGCATTTTTAAATCTGCAGAAAAATAATTTGTTTCTGCTGTGTGTATCTTCCTTTATCAAAGGTGAAATCAAAGACTTGCTGTCCTGACAATGCTTCGTTTAGCTGGGCTGTGAGTATTTCAGTACTAGAAGTTCACTGGCTGCAATTGCAGCTAGCAACCCTCTCTCGAGCAAAGAAATCGCTCCTTAAAAGTTGCAGTTCAGCAGTTGGGAGACTGTTAAAATGAGTTCAGGGTCATTCTTAATTTGTCGTTTCTTCAGCTCCCATGTAAAATTGGGAAAGCATGGGTTCTGTTTTTATTTAGTCGCTGAGATGCTGAAATTTGTTTGCCTCTCCCAGAAGTGGGTGCCAAGTTGTTCATTCAAAGAACAGACCTAGTATCTAACTCTGAGCTGGGACAATTCACAAGTTCTGCTGCTGATTGCAGACTTGCTGCCCTCATGTTTGACTTCACGTGCACAGTGACCTGCCTGTCACCCTGGACAGGTTACTGGAGATTCTGTTGGGTTGTGGTTGTCCGCAAATATATGATTTGTTTTGCAAAGAAAAAAACAAAACCACCTTGAAGACACTGGTTCCATGCTTTCACATGGAGAATGTAGGCACAGAGGGGGGAAGTGAATGCCACTAACCCACATGAAACACAATGGAATGAAAAATTACACTTGAATATCAGCTGTTCACGTTCTCTTGCTTTATAAGTAAAACGATGATGACAGGGGCTTACTTTAATGTGGCTGTGGTTTTTGCTGCTTTACAATGTAAACAATCCATTTTAAAATCTTTGTAGCATGAAGTTGTTTTTAAGGAAGGAAATGCTGTGCTAACCAGACTGTCTCAGAAGAGACTCCTGTAGTAATCTAGTTTGACCTCCTCCATGATGCAGGAGATTAAATTTCATCATTGGGCTCAACAACCTAAAGCAGTGGCTGTCTCTTAGTTTGAAGATTTCAAAGGGTGGAGTATCAGTACCTTTAGTAGCAACCCATCCAAACGATTACCTTCCGAACAGCTTTGCCTTCTATTAATTTACATGTTTTACCTTTGTCTTGTGTTTGTTACCTTCTCTCCTGTTATCTCAGGCTGAGATCCTTGTCCTTGTGGTTCTACTCACTGAGATGTGCACAGGCAGTGTTCAAGTCACCTCTTGATCTTTCTTTGGCAGATGCCTTTAGTTTTCCAGGCTAGGTCATTTCTTGCAGTTCCTGTTCTGAATCCTCTCCAAGAACTCACTTCTTGCTGGAGAATCTCACAGACCCCAGTAGGTGGGAGCAACTTTCTGTTGACATTTATAAGCTGGAAAAAAAAATATACACTCTTCAGTGACAAAGAACAGATTTATTTGCTTTATTCCTTCTCGGATGTATTATGGTACTGCAGTAGAGAAGCATCTCTGGAAGATGTCAGCATCATGTGGAGTGAACCCTCTTGTGTAGCAGCTGTATCTGTCTACTTTGGCTGGGCTACTTGCTGTAGTGTATTTGCAGAGTGGTGTTGTGCTCTTCTCCATCTGTCTTGCTTTGCATGTGCCGGACAAGTATCTTTACTGTCCAGTAACTTCTGCTGTCTTTTTGGGAATGAAGTACCTAATTATCCTGCTGACACACATAGTTGAGGCCGGGAACTCATTGCAGAGGGACAAACTGGTTAAATTTTATTTTTCCCCAAAGTCTTGTAGGTGGTGTATTACCTTTACAGCTTGGTTCACATCTCACAACTTTGCTGGCAGAGATGGAAGAGCAAAAAGCATGGAGGAAGAAAATCCAGTTGCTGTAACAGAGCTGGCAGAAGTTAGCCATGGAAGGAGACCTGTTGCCAGAATGCTGTCTCAAGCCATTCAGGGAGGTAGGTTAGCACCGCAGGCCAGATTGCCCTTTTTCTGGAAGGCAGCTCTGCCAGCTGCACTTTTGTAGTGGTTCTATGATGCAGATGTGCACTAAGGTTACACACCCAGACAAGCAAAGTTAGCTTGCTGCTTCTACTGCAAGTTACAGGGCTAAAAGCAGCTCACACATGTGTCTTTACGCGGGCAGCAAGTCATGTTTATGAACGTTACATCTTAGGGTGAGAGCATGTGTCTTGTCCCCCTTAGGAGGAGAACCATTGAAGACTTGGAAAGGTGTTAAAATCCTGCTGATTTGTCGCTTGTCCTTAGCCAACACACAGGTGGGCTGAGATTTTGGGCATCGCATCGGCAGAAACTTCTTTGATGTCAGAAAAGAGTCCCAGTGGCAGTGATGCAGGAGTTGTTACATGGTTGATCATGGATTATATTTATTTTAGAAGCAACTGGATGCACCTGAAATGCTCAACAGAATGAAGCTGGCATGAAAGCACAGAGCTTCAAGTGCCTGTGTGGGTACCAGTTCACTTTCACCACTGTTCCAGTCAAGCATCCTGTTAAATGTATAAATCTAGGAGCTAAGGAGATGATACTTTCTGGACCTCTGTGGTCTCACCAGTCACCAGCCCTTATTTTGACCGTTATTTCTGGTGAAAACTGGAGTTAAAGCAACCTCCACTATTTCACTTCCTGTTTTTCCTGCTGCTCTGGATGTAGACATTGCTCTCCATTGATAACGATTTTTCAATGCAGCTAAAGCACAAAGGCTGAGATTGGACTTGCCAGGCAGGGACCTTTCTCTGGGGACCCCAGCCTCAGGACTGGCACTTGCATCCTTCTAAGGTTGTGTGTAAAGCTTTCAGCTTTTAGAACTATGCAAGTTGTGTGCTGTGGGGTGCCACCCATGTTGATGCCTTCTGCCACCCATCTGGAGCTTGTTTTGGAGTGGAGTGTTTTCCATACCACCTGCAGGAGAATTTGTGCTGCTCTTTGTCTTCTGGAGGGGCAGTGGCATCGCTCTGCCAGTTCATATGAGACCTAGAACCAACAGGGATAGACCTGTGCAGTCTCTCTTGGCTTGCCAATAGTTACTTAACCTGTTAGATCTCTTTGGTCCAGACTGTTGCACTTAGGGCTTTTCTTTCAGGACAGACTTGATAGGTGTCATAGAAATATTTGTCACATTCACAGTGTTAGTATGAAACTTCAAGGATGATTTTTTTTTTTAGGAATGATTCTGTTTCTAGAGAAAGATGATCTGTACAATCATAGTCTTCATTGCTTTGGAGTAAGTAGGAATGGGTTTTAAACTGGTTTTGGGTAGTGTAGGAAAGAATACCTTTGAGCAAACAGGCATGCAAGACTATTATTAGGTGTCACAGCCCTTAAAAACTTTGCTGTTAGGTCTTAGTGGGAATAAAGTAAGCCCTTAGTATTGGTTGAATTGTAGTGAAGGTGTCTGCAGTCTCATATGCACTTTGGAAGTGGAATTCGTCCTGTGTTCTGCAAGGGCAAAACCCCCAACCATTCTTTAGTCTTAGCCTAACTCTGGGGGGAAAGCCTTGGCCAGCTGATAGCACAAGTCTGTGTCCCTCCAGGTGTTCTTTCACGTGCATTTGCAATGTTTCTGTGGCACCTCATTCCCCTGATATTTGTTGGACGTGCTGCTGTTGCATGATTACGAGATCCATCAGTAAAGGCTTGGTGATGAGATGTCCCAGTCCTCTGGCTACTGAGTAGTTGGTGCCAGGTGCGGTTCATGCCAGGACTGGGTTGAACCTTATCCATGCACCTCTGTAAGCTGAGCTCCATCTCTGTGACATATCCATCCCACCAAAAATCTTTACAGATCTGGAAGTTGTTGCTCTTGTAGATTGGCAAGGCAGAGAGGGTTTTGCTGATTTGCCTTCTCAAGGTAATGAGCGCTAACTAGGTAGTTTTCCTCCAGAGCTATCTTAGACCAGGAGCTGAGTCCATCCGGAGAGGGAAGTTCCCCACTGTCTGTCTTTCTGCAGGCAGTAATGGAGAACTTTTTTTCTCTCTGGGTGTCTAGCCTGATCAACATCAAATCCATGAGAAGTGTATGAATAATTTTGTTCTCAGCTCTGTAATATCAGCAGCCAGTGGAGGATCTTTGCAGGTGGCTATTTTGAGCCACGAGGTGCAGCCCACTGCCACTGCAGGGAAATTTGCCATTTCTGCACTGTCTTCCTTGCCCAGCCAGGCCACAGCTTGTTTTCACCTGGCTTCTTTCCCTCTTGGTTTCTGGCAAAGTCCTGCCATGCCTGTTTGTGGACTCCATGAAATCCTGCCAGCACGACAAGGCTTGCATCTTGAAGCTTGTGGGGCTGCTGTTTCCAAACTCTGCTGTCTTGGTAAGCAAAATGGACAGCATAGTTTGATGTCTGCTGTGGCAGTTCAGAGAGCTAATGGGAGCCATGTGCACTCAGCGAAGGGGTGTATGAAGACCTTGATAATCATCTAGACTGACCTCTACAGGTCATTCTTGTTCAGGCTTATTTTAACTATGTTTAATTGTGATTTAGAAATTGGCAGTGATGAAAAATACACTGTGATTTTTTGTTAGGTTCCAACTCTTGCTAACTAATCCACCTTAAAAACATGTGGCTTACCTGTACTGACTGAAAATCTCATCTGCGTCTTGTAGTGTGACTTTGCTTCTTCAAGTCATTGTCCAAAGCAATTTCTGGTTCCTTTCTCAATTGGATGAGCAACTTGTCTGTATTCCCCAGACCAGCCTTTTCCCCTCAGTACATTCATGTCACTTTCATTGTTTTGTTCTGGACACCCTTGGGCAAGAGCCAAATCCGTCAGGAAGTCTCTGGGCATTGGGGCACATCAGGATACAATTGAAGCTTCGTTCTTTGGTGTAAAGTATGATTTATTTTGACTGCCAGCGTATCCCTGAGTGCTGTGATCTGGCAGATGTGCAGCCACCTGCAGGGCTGGAGTGTCTTCAGACAGGTCTGCAGCAGCTACTGCAAAGTTTTAAGGGTAGGTTTCTGTGAGGCTGCTTGTGTGCTTTGTAGAGCATTGCTATGACTCAGTGTCTCAGGCACTGCTTGAGATGCATTGAAGTCTTCAGCTGCCTTTCTGCTGTGGTTTTCTTGAGTTCAAGCTGTGCTTTCTTCTTTTTTTCTGGATAGAAACAACACCTAAACAACAGAAATAGGGCTTCTTATGGTGATATTCCCATTTGCATCTGTTCTCCTGCCTTTCACATCTTTTAACAAAGGCAGTTCATGATCTAGCATGTTGAGCAGAGGTATCGGCCATCTGTAGTTGTTTGTTTCCTTGTGATCCAATTTGCCAGCATGGAAATGAGCTTCAAGAGCTTTCACTCTGCCAGTCATCCCCACGTGCAGTGCAACCTCCCCAAACTTGAAGAACCATTTCTTTCATCCCCGTATGGTTTTGTTACTTGCAAGTATCCTGGCATGATGAGGCACCACATGCAGCTGTTTGATACTGCTTTCTTAATTCAGCAAGGGCTCCTCTCTTCCATTAAGTGAAAGCATGTTGTTGATTCTGAATAGCACTAAGTGCTACTCTGGGCCACCGGGACCTGGGCTAGGCCAGCAGTTATCATTTAATAGATGCCAATAAGTAAATATGGCCGTTGAATACAGACACGTACATAGACCACGCAGCTGCTCGGTAGAGCCCGTAACGTCCGCCTGAGTAAGGGTGGATCTCAGAGCAGAGATCTGAAGCTTCTTGTCTTGGACCATCTCTCTGGGGTTGCACATGAAAAGCTTGCTGTGGCACAGCTTGTCCTCATCTTTTTGCTGGGAGGACTGCATCTACAGCTTCCCTCCACACCTCTTAGTAGGGTGTTTCTGAGCAGCGTTTCTAAACTTTGTGCTGCAGTTCCTGCAGAGTAATCACTTGTCAGGTGCTTTTGCTCCTCATAGAGGAGGTGAGGGCTCCTAAGCTACAAGTAGTGCTAAAATCAGAATGTGGCAAGCCTCCACACTGAGCCTCTTCATTCTCTTCTCCTTTAGATTTCAATGTATTGTTTAAACTATAATTTAAGTGGGGGTAATCTATCCTTGTGTTGCAGAACAGTAAGCAAAAGGCTCTGTTTTCCAGTCCGCGCAATCACCAGTAATCAAGGAACTGAAAACAGACTGGCCCTAAATGTGCAGTTTTTCTGTCTGTATCTGTGTTAATGTGTATATCTGCTTTAGGAACCACCTGGCAAGATTTGAGCTGTACTCCGGGAGGTGTGTTAGGAAAAACTAGATCTTACATCTTAGTGAGGAAAATACCCAGCTGGGGCAAAGGGGTGTCCAAGCCATGGAGTGCTGCAAAATGTCCAGGGAGCTTATGCTGAAGTCTGAGCAATTCTTTAGGTCTCATGAGAGAACAAGCGGAGAAAATTGTTGCAGGAGCTGCAGAGGGAAAGCCATTGGTCTGGTCCACTTCATCCCTGCGAAGCAGAAGCCTGCGGGCATCTGTGAAACAGAGCTGGATCGTGTTGTGCGGAGTTTACATCACTTAGGTGATAGGGCCTGTCTGTTGGAGACACTGGAGAGCACCTCCAAGAAGGAAGAGTTACTGGGAAACTCCAGTCTCCAGGACACTGGGCCGAGGAGCCAGCAGCTGCTTGGCTGCAGGTTTTCTCCTGCTTTTGAAGGCTGGAGGGAAGTGCTTGAATGCTCAAACTTTGGATAACGTATCAGCAAAAGTGGAGGTGGATCCAGCAGGTGGATCACTCAGCCTTGTCCAGAGTCATCTGGGCAGTAACCTCAGAAGTACTCTTGACCAAGAATATTGCTTGCTTATTTTTGCCCCCGCCCTTTCCATCACTCCCTTTAGTTTTTATACTGGTCTCTGTTGATGCTCGGTTCACTTATTCATGACAAAATAAACCTGTTCATAACCTGAATGGAATAGCTATTTGCAGGCTGCAGCTCAGTGTGAGATACTCGATAACTCAATTGGTAGGGAGTGTTTGAAACACACTTAGAATAGAGCAAGCGACTGCAGATGTTGAGCCTTTCCAAAAGAGCTTGTCCAAGAATACAGGCTTTTTGTGCTAAAGATTGTTTGTTTTGCTTGACTGCTAACAAAATCAGCTAGAAACTCTAACTGTAGTTAGCTCCGGTGCATGAGTTGGGGCAGATGTAGGAATTAGAAATTGGGAAGCATATTTCCCAAATCTGTCTTGTATGGATTTTAAAAAGAGAGTTGGGCCTGATATATGAGTTTGTCTGTATTGCTCTGAGCTTTGAACTGAGTGGAGAGAAGTTAGATTAAGAGAGAGGCAATATGTTCTTGAGTGCACTTCTCTGAAGGGGAAGCACAGGTCAAACCTGATCATTTAAAACTGCCTCAGTGTTCCCGAGGGGTTCTTGGTGCCAACTTTTAACAACCGAGCTTATCTGTACGCCCAGCCGCTGGGAATGGAAGTTGTCCCCAGTGACAGTTGATGTTTTTCTTGGATGGGTTCTTGGTTTCAGGATTACGTAGACGGTTGTTTTCTACCCTATTTGCAACAGAGGTGAAGGAATCTTAAAATTTGGTGGTGTCCATCCAAAGAGGATCTGCCTGCTTATCCTGAGATGTAGTAAAGGCAAAATCTGGTCACCAAACCTCAAAATGCTGACATGTTCGGCTGCCCCAATCACTCTTCCAAAGTGGCTGCTAGAAAATCATGCTTAGACGTCACTTGGGCTGTAGCTCTTGTGACCTGAACTGCAGTGGTCTGAAACTGCCTCTGCCGTGCTGGAAGAAGGGGTCTCTGCTTTGAAGCCTCCCAACAGCGGGTGAGGTGAAAGCTTTCAGGTTCTCCTCCTAAACCATGGAATATAACTCTTGTGCTTATTGCTGCCTTTGTGCTTATGTGGGTTTTCTGTTGTGTTTTGTTTTTGAAACAGCAGGGTAAAACTGACTTGCTGCTTAGCAGCTTTGCTGCTCCCCCCAGGGCTCTGAATATCACGAGGAAACTGGTTAGAAATATATTCCTCTCCTGCTGATGCTGTTAAACCAGTATATGAGGAGCATTAGGTACGTTTGAGCTTTCTGGAGATGTAAGGTTCCTTTTGGGGGAAAACCAAACATTTTATGCAATGCTGTGTACTTGCTAGTCATTTAAGGGCTGTAGTCCTCCTCCAGAAGACAAGGTGACATGACTAGTTATTCCCAAATGAATGCCTCTTTTGAACTCTAGAGGCGGCTCTGATTGCCATTTAAGTTAGCACCTGAACAATCCAAGAAATATAATGTGGAAAAAACGCTTTCTAGAAATTTACCAAATGGCAAATTGCTCAGATACAGTAAACCTGGAGCAGGATGTTATCTTTTAAAAGCAGAGTGGTGGTTGAATTAAAAACACATTGGGGGATGCTTAGAAAGACTTCCCCCCCAAATAGCTTGCCTGTAGCTCTGGATTAGGGGGGAAATGTGGATGGAATTCATAGGCTTGTTACTGGCTTTGTGCTATGCATAGCTGCCAACTTGGCCATCAGTACAGGATGCTGCAGAGATCACCAAAACCCAAACGGGTTTTTGCATCTGTCTTTATTGGAGGTTTTGACCTCTGCACTGAAATTAGTTGTAATGGATTATTAGACAGAGCCACCTGAGTACTGTTTCTTAATGATTGATGTCGAAGTCTGGGAATTTGGAGCATTATTGATTTGACCTCTTTTAAATTTCAGCAGCTTCACAAGAGACAGAGTGAGTTAGTAAGGAATGCAAAATATGTAAGTAATATATATTTTATTAGCTGAATAGCTTAGGCATACATTTTGTACCTTATGCCTTCTTACCAGAGTAAGGAAGGTTGGACTGTCTGTGCTTTTGGGGACTCTTTCTTTCTTCCTTCCTTTCCTTCTCCTCCCTGCTTCACCTTCTCCAAGCTGTGGCCACGACACCAGCTCTGCTTTCTCCTCCTTGTAATAGGTGTGCATTTTCTTGGCTGGTTGGTATCTCTGACTGGGGATCTATTTTTTTTTTCCCTTTGTTACATAACAGGTCTGGGGACTCTGAAGTGGGGAGGAGAATAAGTTGCCCAAGTTAAATCTGATGAACCTGTAGCTGCTATGCAACTTTGTTCTGTGTTGTAGATGTTAAAGCTAAAACACTGCATCAGGAACCTCGGATAAAAACGATGCTTCCTGCCAGGTGTAGATTAACTTGACAGCCTTGCATTTAGCTTGTGAGCGTGTGGCAAATACTGAGCAGCAAAAGTAAAAACCTAAACTCTGCCTAGCAGTTGTGTAACTGTCTGCAAGTGAATGTGTGCTCTTCTGAAGCATCGCCTCCGGGTGATTAACATACAGTTTTCTGTCTTAGACCCTTCGCAGGTGTTACAGCCGTGTGAAGGAGCATGGTGTCGGGAAGAGGAAAAGCAGCTACACATTTGAACAGCTGGAGCAGGTGTTTGGACAGGGAGGATGGGATTCACAGCCCTGCCAGCCTGTCCTCATTAACAGCAGTGGCTTGTACCAAGAGCTGGAGTCAGATGGCAGCACGATGGAAGAGTATTCGCAGGAGGACTGGGGAAACCACAGTCAGGATCTTCATTGCTACCAGACCGGTGAACAGGAATTGGGTAAGAAATCCCATTAGTGCGTCTCTACCCTCTGATGTTACCTGTGCTCTGCATTCATACAGTACTGATTTTGATGTTTGGGACATAATGTGCTCAGATGCTAAACAGCTAATCTCTATGGAGAGAAAAGGGAGAGAAATGGCTCCCTGTTCATCACCAAAAGCAAACAGTGGTTCTTGAAGGCTGGTGGAATATCCAGATCAGGAGAAAAGGGTTATGTGGCCAGAAACCTTGGAAAATAAAATGCATTCCCTGTCTCTCCTTTCCTTCCACCCACTACCTTGGTTTTACCAGATGTTTTCCCTGTCAGCAATATTCTGCTTTGGAGGCCTTTGAGTGCCAGCTACCATTCAAATGCTGTTCGCTTAAGTATGAGCAGGATTTAGCATCATAGAACCATTAAGATTGAAAAAGACCTCCAAGATCATCTAGTCTAGTCATCACTGTACTGCTAATGTCACCCACTAAACCATGTCCCGAAGCACCAGCTCCAACCTTTCCTTGAACACCTCCAGGGACAGTCATGCCATCACCTCCCTGGGCAACCCGTCCCAATGCCTGACTACTCTCTGAGAAGAAATGTTTCGTAATTTTCAACCTGAACCTCCCGTGGTGTAACTCGAGGCCATTTCCCCTAGTCCTGTCACCAGTTATCTGCAAGAAGAGGCTAACCCTCAGCTCCCTACAGCTTCCTTTCAGGTAGTTGTAGAGAGCAGTAAGGTCTGCCCTGAGCCTTCTCTTTTCCAGACTAAACAACCCCAGCTCCCTCAGTTGCTCCTCACGGGACTTGTGTTCCAGGTCCTTCACCAGCTTTGTAGCCCTGCTGTGGACACATTCCAGGCACTCAATTTCCTTCTTGTAGTGAGGGGCCCAAAGCTAAACACAGCACTCAAGGTGTGGCCTCACCAGAGCAGAGTACAGGGGAATGATCACCTCCCTGTTCCTGCTGGCTGCACTGTTCCTGACACAAGCCAGGAGGCCGCTGGCCTTCTTGGCCACCTGGGCACACTGCTGGCTCATGTGCAGGTGAGCATCAACCAACACCCCCATCTCCTTTTCCTCTGCACAGCTTTTGAGTTACTCTGCCCCAGCCTGTAGCGCTGCATGGGGTTGTTGTGGCCAAAGTGCAGGACCCGGCACTTGGCCATGTTGAACCTCATCCCTTGGCCTCTGCCCATCGACCCATCCTGTCCAGGTCCCTTTGCAGGGCCTTCCTACCTTCCAGCAGGTTGACACTTCCCCCCAGCTTGGTGTTGTTTGCAAACTTACAGAGGGTGCGCTCAGTTCCCTCATCCAAGTCATCAAAGACATTAAAGAGGATGGGCCCTAACACCCACCCCTGGGAAACACCACTGATCACTGCCAGCTGGATTTCAATCCATTCACCACCACTCTCTGGGCCCATCTGTCCAGCCAGTTTTTAACCCAGCAGAAGAGTGTACCATTCATAGCCATGGGCTGCCAGCCTCTCCGGGAGAATACTGTGGGAGACCATGTCAGAGGCCTTGCTGAAGTCCAGGTAGACTGCATCCACAGCCTTTCCCTCATCCACCAGGTGGGTCACCAGTCATAGGAGATGAGGTTGGTCAGGCAGGACTTGCCTTTTGTGAACCCATGTTGACTGGGCCTAATCCCCCAGTGGTGCTGCATACATAGCATGATTGCCTTCAAGATGACCTGTTCCATCACCAGAAAGGCACCGAGGTCAGATTGATAGGCCTGTTTTTTCATGGGTCCTCTTTATGACAGTTTGTATAGATGGGCATCCCATTATCAAGTCTTCAGACATGTAGGACCTTTCCAGATGACCATGACTGCTGATAGGTGATGGAAAGTGGCAATGCAATCACATCTGACAACTCCCTCAGCACCCTCAGGTGGATCTCATCTGGTGCCATGGACCTGTGACAGTCCAGGTGGAGCAGCAGGTCTCTGTTTCCACCTGAACTTTTGGGTATTTCTTCTGCTCCTCATCCCAGACTTCCAGGTCAGGAGGCCGAGTACTCTGAGGATCAGTGGTCTGGCTAGTAAAGACAGATGCAAAGAAGGCATTAAGAACCTCCTTCTTTTCCTTCTCCTCAGCAGTCGTGTTCCCCCCTGCATCCAGTAAAGACTGGAGATTCTCTTTGGCTCTCCTCTTGCCATTAATCTATTTAGAAAAACATTTTTTGTTATCCTTAACCTTAGTGGCCAGGTTGAGCTTGTGCTAGGCTTTGGCCTTCCTGATCCTTTCTCTTCATATCGTGGCAGCTTCCTTGTATTCTCCCTGAGTTGCCTGCCCCTTCTTCCAGCAGGCATAAACTCTCTTTTTCTCCTGAAGACACAGCAAAAGTCCCTGGTTCAGTTACACCAGTCTTCTTCCCCACCGGCTCATCTTACGGCACATGGGACAGCCTGCTCCAGCACCTTGAAGACTTCCTTTTTCAGGAGTGTCCAGCCTTTCTGAACCCTTCTGCCCTTTGGGACTGCCCCCCAAGGGACCCTCCCTACCAGTGTCCTAAACAAGTCGAAGTCTGCCCTTCAGAAGTCCAAGGTAGCAGTTTTACTGATGCCCCTTCTGACTTCTCCAATAATATTGAACTCTACCATGTCATGGTCACTCTGCCCAAGATTTCTTCCCTACCACCACATCCCCCACCAGTCCTTCTCTGTTTGTGAACAGCAGGTCTAGCGGGGCACCCTCTCTGGAAGGCACAATAATCAGCTGAGTGCATGGAAGAGAGCTTCCTGACTCCAGGAACCTCCTAGACTGCTTCCTCAGGACTGTATTGTTTTTCCAACATATGTCTGGGAAGTTAAAGTTGGCCACGAGGACGAGTGCTGGAGATTGAGTGACTTCTGCCAGCTGCTTGGAGAACTCCTCCTGTGTCTCTTCATCCTGGTTTGGCAGTCTGTAACAGACCCCCACCAGGATGCCCGCCTTGTTGGCCAACCCCCTGATCCTTTTCCACAAGGACTCTACCTTTTTGTTCCCAACCTTGAGGTCAACAGCATTGAAAAAGTCTCTAATACAGAGAGCTACGCCACTGCCCCTCCTTAGCTGCCTATCCCTTCTGAAGAGCTTGTAGGCATCCACTGCAGCACTCCAGTTACAGGAGTGGTCCCACTACGTTTCAGTGGTGGCGACTAGGTCATAGTTTGCCTGCTGCACAATGGCTTCCAGCTCCTCCTGTTTGTTGCCCATGCTGCAGTCATTGGTGTAGATGCACTTGTGTTGCACCGTTGCCTTCACCCTCAACCCTGGGACTGCTCCACCAGGCTTATCTCTGCTGAGTCTCTGTTCCCCCTGTCCCCCTTTATACCTAGTTTAAAGCCCTCTTGATGAGCCCTGCCGGTTCTCAGGCTAGAGTCTGTTTTCCCCTTTGGGACAGGTGGGACCCATCTGGAGCCATGAGGCTAGGTGCTGAGTAAACCTCCCCAAGATCAAAAAAAAAAAAAAAACAAAACCAACAAAACTGCTGTGACAGCACCAGCCTTTCAGCCATGTATTAATCAGCTGGGCATTCCATGTCTGCTCAGTATCCCTCTCCACCACTGAAGGGATTGAAGAAAACACCACCTCCACACCCACTCCATCCCCTGAAGTCCCTTTTGATAGCCCTCAGGCTTCTCTCAGCAATTTCATTTCTGCCAGCCTGAATTATCGCTAATGGGTAATAATCAGAGGGGTGAACAAGGTCAGGTCAACGATGTCCAAGCTGCTGCTGTTGATGCCAAGGACTATAAGAATGTTTCTCCTTCTTCCCATTTATCGTAACTGGTATGTTAGATTTAAACATGTAAATTTGCTTATATCCAGATGTGGCCTTCAAAAAGTAAGCAAGCTCACATGCTGTTCCTGCTTGATTTAGTGGTGTCAGTTTCTCTGAGTAAGAGTCAGTACATTAATTGATCTGGAGATTTACTTGTTGCCTGTGGTTTATTTAAAGTTGTCAAATGGAGCCAATGACCATATTCTTAATCAAAAAAGAAAGCACATGAATCTGGGCAGTTTTGTCCAGCTGCAGTGAAAAAGTGGGTTTCCTTAAGCATACTTGTATCTCTTGAGCTATGGACCTTATCGTACATATTCTTCCCTTGTGTAAGCGTAGAGAAACAGGTCTTATTTACGTGTCGGAAACTTGATCAAATTCAGCAGAGACTCAGGTGAGGCAGTAGTTAGAAGATGAATTGGGAAAAAGCTGTTGGTGTGCCTTTCCTTGTGATTTGTAGGCTGAACAGGAATGGGAGTTGCAGTCACATACCTATATACATCTGTGTTCAGGGGACCAGTGGATGCAGATGCTTTGAGAGAGGATTAAATTGCAATTTGATATTAAAACAGCCAACTTGCAAATTAAGCATATTCTAGTTCTCTTAGAGTTCTTCCCTAAGGCGTTTAGGAGTCAGAAATATGGTGAGAGAATTTCTCTTAGGAGAGAAATGGTGGGGAGATGATGATGTTTCAAAACATAAGTAAACGACAGCTAACTCCATCTAGTTGTTCTGGTGACTCAAACTGTGGTCTTCTAGTTTGTCACCATTTTCATTCAGTTGTATTACAGAGGCATTTGGGTGCACTGAGGCTTACAATATTCTTAATGTTCAAAGAATTTATGAGGAAAGCATTTAGCACACAAAATCTAAATGGAATACAGATGCATTTGTTCTGGTGCTTGCTCTTCAAATGTGCTATTGAAAGCAGGATAGTTTCTCTTCTTTTTTTTTCCCCACAATGTAGTTTGTAATTGAATTGACTTGTGACTTAATAACAGGAATTGTGCTATTGTCCTTGAAAGGTTTTGCACTTGCAGAGGGAGATTCAGATCTTGTAACTGACCATGTCATATGAAAGAATTTTTTTTTCTCGTAAGAAGGATGTAGGATCTGGAGCTGTCTTGTGTATGTGGCAGAATTTAGTGGACTTAGGAAGTAAGCTTGATTTTAATTTCAGCCTGAAAAAACACACACACAGACATACGCACAAAAAAAAAAAAAAAGGGAAGAAAAAACCACCAGGAACATTATTTAAAACATAACTGTGTGTTGGAATTCTACCTTTCAGATGAAATGCCTACCACAAAAAGAACATTAAAGATAAAACAGGAATCTTCAGAAGACACTCAGTAAGTAATTTATGAATGTTTTACCCTGGAATGTATTTCCCTGGGGATATTTTGCAGGAGGGAGGATATTTGAAACTTCTGATTATAATTATAAATACATTGTGCAAGACTATTCATACAGTTGGATCTGCTTTATGCATTATTCCAGTTACCTCAGAACATCTGAAAAGCTTCACAACTTTGTCCATTCTTGGCTTCATCATACAGCAAATAAGACTCACTGCATGAATGCAAGGACTTAAAAAGTGGATAAAATACACAACAGAACTGTTAGGGACGTGTGGGCAGGCTGTGGTTATCATGAGATGAGTCCAAACTCTTCAGTGTATTTATGATCTGTTTTTTCCATCTGCCCGAACTTGCCTGAATTTTGCCCCTTTGGACATAAGGGAAAAAATTTTTTATAAAGCATTCTTTGTCGTAACACTTTTTTCCACTAAACCAATTACAGGATCATAACTTGGATACCTAGGTGTTTACATGTGCAATGGTGCACACTGACTAGATATTTAAAATGGATCAAAAGGAGAATATAGGTGGAGGAAAGAGACTGACATGACACCATCCCTGTAGTAGTGTGTATTGTTGACTTGGCTTGGTGTGAGTAATGCTTGCATGAAAAGTTCATGCATTTTCCCTCCTTGGTGGGAAGGCATGCCAAAGCTCGTGATTTTTATTTTTATAACTTTCCAGATCTGACTTGTAACCGTTTGGATTGGTTTAATCTGACAAATACTGGAGCATTTAAAATGTTTTGAGCATGTGAATCTCCATTGCCTTGCCAACAATAACACAGAGTATTTCAAAAAATGACAGGAATTGTGCCGTAATTCTTCAGACCAGAGCTACTTTCTTCCAGCCTGTCATATTTTAATACTCATAGGGTAACTGCAGATCAGAATGTGATGAAGTGAGCTATTTCAAATTGGCTTGCAGGCTCTTTAGGGTGGGAACACATGTGGACCATGGTGTCTTACACCACCAACCCCTTTATAGGGTTGGCTAAAGTATTTCCTATGCTGGAAAGTGAGCTTGTCTATGATGATAATTCATCGTTGCTGTACACATCTACATAGTGTCCCTAGCTAGTAATATAACTTTTTTAAAATTACTCAGTTACAGTAAAAAAAAAAAAAAAAAAAAAAAAAAAACTTGGAAGATTTTTTAAAGTGACCTTTGTAATGGCTTAGCTTTATCAAATTCTTCTCTTCAGATTAATTTTCCAGGATTAGCCTGTACCTGATGGTCACTTTTGTTTTCCTTAATGTGGAGCAAATTCCAGTTAGCAACTGGAGAAAAATATATATTTTTTTCACTAATCATTATTGTCACCTCTTAGAACAGTCCTAAGAAGCTCCTCATGGTTAATTTCACCTTCAGGATGTGCCTTAGGGAGTTGCATTGAAAATAAACCTGAATGTTTTGAGGTCAAGGCTCAGAGGAGCATGTGGTGTGTTCATACTGTCTGATCTTCTCTTCCAGAGTTCTGTTGTGTAGATGCATGGCTGGATCAGACTGTCCAGAGCTGGGGTTTTATTTTCTCCTCCCAAGGTCTCTAAAATTCACGTGTGTCTCTGAACTCTTGGGCATTTTGTGAAGCATGCTGGTGATAAGCCAATCTTACGTGCTCAGTGGAAGCACAGAGCATTTTCCAACACAGTGATTTGCTGAAAGTGGCTTTTTTTCCTTGCCCCTCTGAGAAGCAAGGAAGTCAGACTCAGATCAAACTGACTCAGGTTGTGTCTTTCAAAGATGTAAAGAAACCTGAAAAATATGCTGTTTCACTACGTCAAGCAATGAAAAGCAAAGAAGTCAATAAGCATTCTTCATGTCTTCTGCACTGTCAGGGATGTGAAGTAGAAGGTGTTACAGAATCGCAGAATACCCTAAGTTGGAAGGGACCCATAAGGATCGCTGAGTCCAACTCCTGGGTTCACGCAGGACAACCCAAACATCAATCCATGTGTCTGAGAGTGTTGTCCAAACGCCTCTTAAACAAAGGCTCAATTCTGTGACCACATCCCTGGGGAGCCTGTTTCAGGGCCTGGTCACCTTTCGGTGCAGAACCTTTCCCTAACACCCAGCATGACCCTCCCCTGTCCCAGCTCCATCCCTCGGGTCCTGTCACTGTCCCCAGAGAGCAGAGCTCAGCGCCTGCCCCTCTGCTCCCCTCGTGAGGGAGCTGCAGGTTGCCATGAGGCCTCCCCTCGGCCTGCTCTGCTTTGGGCTGAACAAACCAAGGGACCTCAGCCACTCCTCACACATCTTCCCCTCCAGACCCTTCACCATCTTTTTAGCCCTCCTTTGGGCACTCTCTAGTAGTTTTATGTCCTTTTCATACTGTGGTGCCCAAACCTGCACACAGTGCCTGAGGTGAGGCCTCATGAGGCAGAGCGCAGATGGACTGTCCCTTCCCTTAGCACCAGCTAGCAGCGCCATGCCTGAGGCACCCCAGGGGTTGGCCCTTTTGGTGTCCAGAGCACTGTGTTGATCTATCTTCACCTTGCTGTCAACCAGAACCCCCAGATCCCTTTCTGCAGCTGCTTTCCAGCCTCTTGTACCCAGTGCTGTACATACAGGCAGGGTTGTCCCCTCCCAGGTAAAGAATCTGGCATTCGTTCTTGCTAAACTTTGTCTGGTTGGTCAGTGTGGCCCAACAGTGTCAAATGCAGATTTTCAAGGTAGGGGTTTGAAAAGCGAAAGATTGCTGCGTGCTGGTGTGCCAGACTTTACTTTGTCCAGTTTAGCACCTCAGCAGTTGTTTTGGAAATCAGTTAAGGAAATGAACATTCAGATTGGAGTGATTACAAGCAGTCTTGAGAAGCCTGACAGATATTATAGATAAGCCTGGTATTTATTATCTTTAACTTAAAAAAAAAAAAAAAAAAAAAAAAAGCCAAGCTTACTCATGTTTTTGGATGGTGTTTTAAAATCCATGTAGCTTATTTCAAAGAACACAGGCCACCAGTTTGCTTACTTGGGCACGTGGAAATTTAAAGCTGAAATAATCTCAGTAAAATTGGTGGAAGCGGTGATGTGTTCAGAGAAGGTATATTCACATTTTCTGGTGAATCTTGTGTTGAGATGTTTGAAGTAAAGAATTTCCAGTGTGGAGATGCCTGGCTATTTGTACGTATGTTCTTAAAATGTTGTCTTTGCTTCTCCCTCCCATGGGGTTTTGGAAGGGATTTCTCTGCAGCGCTATTGCCTCTGTATCCCTGAGGCTGAGTGTGGCACTGCGAAAACCAGCAGCAGTCCAGCAGGAATCCTTTGCTCCCCTTATGAGTGAGTGGATTCCAAGAGCTGAGCTGAGTGGCTTGTAGAAAAACATGGGAGCATGGTTGTAGAAAACACATGAAGATTATTTCCCTAACAGGAGGGATGAAGGTGAGAGCATCTCTAACATGCTTGCTATAGAAAACTTATCGTTCCACTACAGTGCACAGCTTCAGGCTTTAATACTGAGCTCTCTGAGCGCTGGAATTTCTTCTGACTGTTCTTTTTCTGATAAAACACACACATAAGAAATCACTATTGCTATCAACAGACCAGAGGTCTGTAGAAGCAAGATAGCTTGCTTTGTGCCAGGGGTTGCTCTCTTCCTGAAGTTTAGCCAGCACCAGGACCTGGTTATGCGCCAACAAACTTAGTACCTTGTATCTCCAAGCAAGCTGCACAGCCTGTTAGCATTGACAGCACTGCACCTCTTGACTTCAGATAGAAAACAACTGCCCTTCAAAACAACTACTCTGTCAGGTGGCCCATGTTGGCCATGCTATTGCATTCCCTTGGCATGCTACTGTCTCCCAGTAAACTGTTTTGAAAATTGAAATGCTACTTAAGACGCTGTTCTACTATTTTAAATTTGAGGAGTATTTTTTTTCACTGCAGGCTTTTTGAAGATGAAATAGAAAAAGCCTGCAGAGTTAGATCCTTCAGTGAAACTAGCTGTTTCAGTTTTTTTGAAGTCTGCTTTTGTTTAGAAACAGTGCCTGAGAACAAATTTGCACTGAGTCTTGAGACTTTCCTCATTTGAATTGCAAAAGCTTCTGAGGAGATGGAAGTGCAGATGACCAGTCTGAGCCAGGTGCTGACGGTCGTAGTATGCAATGTGGTAAAATGCAGCTCTAGGGCACCTTCTGCAGATGAAAAATTACATGGCCCTGTGTGTCACAGGGCTGAACCAGGATAAACTCTTTAGTTGCTCAGATTTTCTTTCCTTGCTCTAAAGAGAGAGAGAGAAATAACAGTTTGGCTTCTACCTACTGTGCCATGTTAGGTGTTTCTGTCTTCCAGCAACCAGCAGAAAGACAAGAAGCACTCTCAGCTCTGTGTTCTGGCAGAGTAGCACCTGTGCTTGAGCTACATCACATTAATTTAGCTATTACCTAGCAGGACAGAGCTGTGGTGTAAGTGATTGCAAAACTACAGCTAAGGGGTTTATTCCCAGTTACCACTCAGCTGCCCCCCTACCCAGTGAGTCATCCCCCCCCCCCAAATTTTGCATGCTTGTGAAAAGAGGGGTTGTCTTCACAGAGTTAGCTGTGCCTTAAGCTCTTGGCTCTGGAGAACAGGGGAGCACAGCTACAGTACTGCATGCTTCCCAGTTCCTGGGCTTGGCCCCATGTGTAGTCATGACTGTAGCATGATTTGGGGGTACTAGGTACCATTTTTCATCAGCCAGTATTTTGGTCAAGGTGCAGAGTGCCCTTATACCTGGAGGTGCTGTGTGGAGACTGGGAAAGAGAAGCTCAGCAGCGGGACTGCTGCTGAGCTGTTGAATCCTGGTGTAAATGGGAAGGGGAGATGCTAAAATGAAAATGAGAGCGTTTTTAACATTTCTTTTTCCATACTGTTTCCTCTGTGCTCAAACTGATAGATTCCCTCCATGGGAAGCCTGTATTTTCTCTGATATGTGAGGTGCTGCTGGAGACTGTCTCTAGTGAAATTATTCTTGTTCCCAGCAGTAGTTGGATGAGTGACTAATTTTTTTTTTTTCACCAGAGCTTCAGCTCTTTTTTATGCTGAACTAAGCTTAGCAATAGTATTTATGGTGTAATTAGTAAAGGTGGCTTTTTTTTTGTTCCTAGCTTTATTCCTTCACTGTTGTATGAAAATCTACCCACACTGTGTTCTCATGTATCTGGGTTTGGATGGAACAGTTTCCTTAAACTGAGTTTGGCTGTCTCTCTTCTGTCTCTCTGTAATGTAATGAATGTGTAACACTGGTAAAACAGGCTGCTGTTGCACAGCCCTGCACTGAGCCAGCTGTTTACTATGTCACCTTGTGTGTCTTGTCCCCAGAGGATGAACTTATACTTCCAAAAGTCTAAAGTGCAAGTCTGAGATGACATCTTCCAAGCGTAGTGACACTGCTGCTCAGCATCTGAAGAAGCATCAGGAAAGCTGTAGAGAAAGTTCTTTCCACTTTTATCTATTGAAAAAGTTCAGGCTTGTATGCTGTAGCGTCTGTAAATGTAAATGTATTTGGAGTAAATACTCATGCGCTTTTCTTGTATAGTGTTTCTGTCCTTGTCTTCTCTTCTGCTGCTAGTCTGGGGAAAGTGGAAGTGACTTCTAAGAAGTAATTTAAAATAAGAAATAAGAGTTTGTTGACAATGCAACAGGTGTTTTTAACAACCCTTGGCTCTTATCCTGTGCTTTCCAAGCACGTTCCCTCCTTAGTGCTCTATGAACTCTGTTATGTGTTGATCACAGTGGTGATGCACTTACCAAAATGCCTTTTAAGGTCTATCCAGGCATTCTTCTGCTTGGCTGGCAAGATTGCTGCTGCTAGAAAGCTGAAATACACTGCATGCTAGTCGGATAAAGCCCTAGCTCTCACTGGGTGGAGTGCCTCGGCTGCTCAGACTCGATGTGTTGGGTTTGGGCTTGTGTGAAGCTTGCAGAGCCAGTGGTCACCTAATATGTGTAAAGTTGTTCAGCAGGGAGCGTAACACTCCAGAGACCAGGTTGACTTCAGTCTGCCAAGGAAGAAATGGATAGCTTACAGTAAACCTAGCAGTTGGAGAGCTTTCCCAAAATCATGTGTTGCATTTGGGAAAACTCAGTGTGCCAGTTTGTGTTCCTTTATATTAAACTTCACTGTGGAGTTGAACCACCTGCCTGGAAAACTGAAGTCAGTCTCCAGCAGTCCTCTGAGTAAAATAGATAAATTTTGGGATGCTGTTGCCTCTTAATTTATGTCCCTGTAAAGTAAGCTGGAGCATACTAGGCTTGATTTGGATGTGCAGCACCTAGGAAAAAAAAAGCTTTTTGAGCTGAGGAGCTGTGAAGTTGATTGAACGATTGAACCCCTCTTGCACTGTGGAAAGGCTCTGTGGCTCCCAACCTTTTTTTTCCTTTGAACCACTAGATCAATATAATGCAAAAATGGAAAGAGAGACCTTTATATCCTGCCTGTGTTCCATGTAGAGATTTTTTGGGCAGAAAAGTAACTGTGAGAATCCCAGCCCCGTGTCTGTCCCGTGCAGTTTGTGGGGTGTTGTCTGCTATTGCTTAAGGAGTTGTTTCATAACCAGTTAATACTTCTGACCCTACTGTCTCACCAGTCTCGTGCCCTAACTCTATAGGGAGCTGTTGCAGAAGGATGATTTTAAGGAATTAAAGCAATTTTCGTGAACGTAGCGAACACAAGTTGCTTCAGGTAAAAAGAAAAAGCTTTGGCAGCTCCTCACGTACTCTAAGCTTGTGCAGCTCTGCTGCCTTTGGTGTTCGTCCATGATGAATCCACAGAAGTGGGTGGTACAGGCCCATAAGAAGAAGGGAGTTCATGTTCACCCTGCAGAAGAAAGCTCTGTCACCCAGTGCAAGGAAGAAGGTGCGTGTTGTTCTAGTGGGAAGTCGGGGGAGATAATGCATCCAGTAGCTTCAGCACCTGATCCTTTCTGGGATGTGGTGACACCCATACGATTGCAGTGCAGATTTACAGATGTAGTATAACAAGATATGGTATAACAGATAGGTGAGGAGAGTTGAGTGGAGCTAGCTTTCAAATCACTTTGGTTGGACCAAGATGTTTCTCAGTTACCAACAGTGTTGTGCTATCTTCCTATGACTTGGATTGTAGGGCAAGAATTCTTAAAATCAACAGTTCTGTCTACTAATTATGCTTGAAGTATCTCATTCATCCTGAATGAAGATGTTCAGCTTACTTCAGATGTATGCAAATGCTCCTGCCTGAACGCTTGGCAATGCGTGAATCCCTACAGTGAAACTTACTTTGACACTGGTGTTGTTATTAGCAGCCAAAAGAAATCTTTGGAAATGCAAGAGCTTCTTTATTTGATCTCTGGAGGGATTTCAGACGCACATCATGGTGCGGCTTAATGCTTCGCTTGTGTCCTGATCCAGCAGCAAGCTGTGGAGTAGGGAATCTTTGCTTGCATCTTCTGCTCTGCAGAGGCGCACTTGTCATGGGTGGATTTGGGTTGTGGTTTGTGGCCTGGGTGAGTTCTCCACGTCCCGAGAGCCCTGTTTCTTGCCTAGTGCTGGCAGCAAGCCTTTGGATCTCCTTGGCTTGTTTTGTGTTTTTACAATTACAACCTGTTGTTCACTGATATAATTTCAGGGTAGTGACTTAGATAGAAGCATGTGAGTGTCAGTAACGAATTAGGGATGCAGCTTCAGTTGTCTTTGATGGACTGAGTGCTGATGTGCATGCATAGCTTGTGGGCAAGATAGTAATTTTCCAAATAAGCAAGAACAGGATGTCTGTGTGCAGTTGGTTGAAACGAGAGCCTTAAGTAAGAGGAAAAGAGGGGAATTGCTCTGGAAAAGTCAGCCCTGGTTTTCGCTGTAGTTGCTCACTGTGCTTGCAAACTTTTTTTTATTTGGGAAGCTGAAACAAAATCCATTTCCATTTTTGGAATTATGGAAGCATGGAGGTGAAAACAGACAACACTTTTGCTTCAAGAAGAAAGGCAAGTTCTGTGGTTTTTTTTTTTTTTTTTTGAGCAAGGTGCAGGCAAATGCACTTAAACTTCTGTGAGGAAACAGCAGGACAAGCTGAAGCAAAGTATTTCAGGGCTGTACACACATCTGTTTAAAAAAAAGAAAAGAGTTCACATTAATTTAGTAGTACCAGAGAAATGTTTGCTTGCAGTTGCTTTTAAGCAATACAGGTACATTTCTACAGTGTGGTTCTGGGTGCGGTGGTAGCAATAAGAGCACAAATCTTTCTCTGAACCTGTACTTGGAGATCTCTTAGCAGGGCAGCTCATGTTTTCTTCTCCGGGTTATTTCCAGCAGAAAGTGCAGTTTGCTAGCGAGATTGGATGGAGTTCAGTTTCTTGTTTGAGAGTTGTTTGGGTTTTTTTCTTTTTTGATAAGGTTAATTTAAAGACAGCAGTGTGGCGTTGTAGTCTTGAAATTCATGTAGTGACATAGGATGTATACAGTAATTAAATACCCACAGCTGAAAAAGCAGTCTAGCAAATGTGCAGTGTGGTGATTCTTCAGCTGCTCAGCATGTGAATTTTTGCAATTGTCTTTTCAGCCTCGACACTGCCCAATTCATAAAGATTCTGTAAAGCAGTGCTGAGATCAAGCCTTCCCCGTGCAGACAGCAGCAGCCCTGCTCGCACCTTCTCTGCTGTGCCTTGTGCCGAGCAGCAGATCAGCATTTTCTGAAAGCTGGTGTGTTGGCTGGGGTGGCTTAGCAGCTCTGATCTTAGCAGAGCGGTTACTGACAGCTTACCCTTCTGTTCATTTTTCCAGGAAGCGCGACGTGATGCAGAACATTATGCAAATCCTGGAGTCTGTCCAGTTGAAGTGGGAGCTGTTTCAGAGCTGGACAGACTTCTCCAGGCTACATCTCTCTAACAAACTGGCCATTTTTGGCATCGGTTACAACACACGCTGGAAGGAGGACATTCGCTACCACTACGCAGAGATCAGCTCGCAGGTGCCCCTTGGCAAACGGCTCCGGGAGTATTTCAACTCGGAGAAGCCAGAGGGCAGGGTTATCATGACCAGAGTACAGAAAATGAACTGGAAAAATGTTTACTACAAATTCCTAGAGATCACGATTAGTGAAGCAAGGTGCCTCGAGCTGCACATGGAGATTGACTGGATACCCATTGCTCACTCCAAGCCAACGGGAGGAAATATCGTTCAGTATTTATTACCAGGAGGCATCCCCAAAAGCCCGGGCTTGTATGCCATTGGGTATGAAGAGTGTCATGAGAAGCCCCACTCGCCTCTCATGGAGCACCGAGGCACCGATCCTGGCAATGAGACTCAAGGGGAGCTGGAAGTGCCATCACCGCAGGCATCTCTCCGGGTGGAGATGGAGTCTGCCCGTATTATCTACTGTTACCTTGGTATTGCTGAGGTCAGAACTCTCCAGCAGTGCCTGTTTTTACATTTTCAGGCAAACACCAAAACCTTCAGCAAAGAGTGGGTTGGGATCAATGCGTTTTTATCTCAGAACTGCATTGTAGAGCCCGGTGTCTCACCAAAATCCATCTACATCAAATTTGTGGAAGTGGAGAGGGATTTTCTTTCTGCTGGCTCTTTGGTAGAGTGCCTGGAAAAAGCCATTGGATACCCCTTAAAATTTAACAACTGAATCTCGTCCTTCATAAGGATTAGGGCTTCTGCCTGTTTCCATCTCACTACCGGACGTTTTCAGATCCTGTCTGTTCACAGCCGGGCAAGTAACACTTTCCACTTGAAATGCATTTCAGAGGGAAAGATGCTTGCGGGCAGTTTCAAAGAGCTCGCCCCAGGCGTGTGGGACAGCCGTCGACCAGCCGGCTCTGCACCGAGCAGCGCTGCGATGAGAGCCCTGTACATGAAATGACTGTAGGTACATTCCACATCGGACTGAGCGTACGCTTGGCGTTTCATACAAAAAGCTGTTTTTCCACTATGTCTCATTTTTACACATCCGTCTCTAAGTGTTATTACAGATCTGAATAAATAAGCAATAGATAATGGCAAGTTAAACCTTGAATCACATTAAATGAGACTGTTTTTCAAAGCCACCCTAGATACTATTGTATATAATTTAGAATTTCACATTTTTTCACCCATCAAGTGTTCTATCCAAACAGTGTTGCCTGCAAAGACTTTTGTTTCTGTGATGTATTCCACTTTACTAGTAGTGTTGCCATATCTGCTTTTATTTTATTTTTATTTTATTTTATTTTTAACATTAAAATAATTCCTGGGCTTTTTTTTTTTTTTTGAGTTCTATTTAGCCTCTGTGAGAATAACCTGGCAGCTGGGAAACGTTTTGTCAAACCATGCTTATGGATACAATCAAAGCTGTGAGAACTGGGGTGGGGGGAAAGGGGTGGGTGGGTCGGGGGGGCCGGGAGGAAGCATTTAAAGCCTTTTCAGAAGTGTTACTATATAAGCCCCATTACTTTGCTGGCTGGTGCTGGCATTTTGGTTTTTCTAAAGCTCATTGATCAGTGACGTTGTGACATACAATGAATGTGTCAGTCCTAATAAAATCAAGCAAATGCGCACGGACTCCTAGAGCTGTCTTTCTCCTCCTGGGGTTGGATCCATCTGCAGGGACACAGCTTTCCTGCCGGGGCTCTGAGCAGCACCCTGGAAATTTCCACTGGGGCTTCGTTCCAGAGGTCATCCCTGTTTCAGTTTTGGTTGTATTGTGTCCAGGGTCAGCAGCTATGGAGGATGGTGAGTGTGGCTGTGCTTGTTTTGTTACCAGCATGGGTGCCTGAGCATCCCTCTTGCCAGGCTTGGAGAGAAGGTTTGGGGAGAGGAGGGAGTGGAGGTGGCTTTATAGCCCTGGTTGGTGGCTGTGCCTCAAGGGATGTGGGACAGCAGCGTGTCCCTTGGCGGAGCTGAGTTTCCTCCTTTGCCTTCAGCTTCTGCCTTCTGACCCCCCTCCTCCCCAGCTCTGGACATGTCTTCAGCTTGGGAACATCATCTGTGGAGTTGCAGCAGGGAAGATGAACAGCCTTTGGAAGTGCTCTGTGTCCCTTGGCACTGCTTCCCAGCCCCATCTAACCCCCACCATTTAGGAAACGCGAGATGCCTTTGCCCCCATCGTTTTCCTCACACTCGATGTGGCTCTGCATGGGGAGGCTCCTCCTCACTGCTGCATGGCAGCATTTGAAAGACTCCTCTGTGTTCAGTGGTGACTTTCCCTGACAATTTGGGACTGGAAAAAGCAAGTTAAGGTCAAAAAAGCTGCACATGCAGCTGGGCGCTGAGCATGGGGCTGGAGAAATGGGTGGAAATGGGGCTCTTCCACTTGGGATCCTCTGGCAGTGGGGATGGGTTGTGTGGGTTTAAGGCTTCTCAGGCTGTCTGGTGTGTGGCCTTACCTACCAGAGAGACTTTTTGTTTCTCCTGAAGTGTTGAGCGATGGAAATGTGTGGGGAGGCTTTTTGGGGAGAAATAAGGGTTCTACCACCTGTTAGGGCCAGGATTAGCAGCGAAGCCTCTCCTGGTGCTGCTCCCAGCAGAGGGCATCTGGTGGCCGGGATCGCTGGTGTGCAGCCCCCATCCTGCCCCTTCCCTGCTCTTCCCGCTCCTCTTGCCGAGATCTGTTCCAGCCCGGGACGGATCCCCCAGTGGTCCCCAAAGCTTCGCCTGTCCCCAGGGCTGCGTCCTGCCATGCTCGAGGCTGGTTATGCTGCTGAGGGGGTCCGCTGATGTCCTTTGTTGGTTGGGGCCCACCAAGCTCCTTGCCTCCTGGGCACCCACAGTCCTTGCTCTGGGAGGATGCACTGCGTCCACCTGCCCTGCAAGCCCCCTGTCCCCCCCATATGCTCCCAAATCCCTCTGGGACCTTGCCTCTGCTCCAGGCCCCATCCCTGCTCCTCGCCCCAGCTGCAGGCAGGCCAAGGCCACGCAGCCGGAGGGGCAAAACGTCCCTGTTCTGTCTTTTCAGGTTGGTTTTGAACTATGCTTTTTACCGCTTTTTGACGATTAATGCGCCTGTTCAGGGGCCACTGGGAGGAGGAAGAGCCCTGCGGGGCTCTGGGGTCCCCAGGGGAGCAGCAGCGTGACCCCTGGGGAGGTGACAAGCTTCCCCCCCCCCCCGCAATAATGTCCTAATTAATTATTAATAACCCTCCTAATTAACAAATAACCGTGATTGGCTGCAATGGGGGGGGAGGTGGTTTGGACCCCCGGGGTGTGGGTGGGGAGAGGAGCCCCGCCCCCCGCCAAACCCCGCCCCCACCTGGGCCCCGCCCCAGACCCCCCCCTACCCCCCCCCTGTCCCGGTCCCCCCCGCCCCGGCACCTGCTGCGGCTCCGGCTCCGGCCATGGGCGCGCTGCCGCCGGGCGCGCTGGCGCTGGCTGCGCTGCTGGGTGAGCGCCGCGGCACCGGGCGGGGAGCTGGGGGGCACCCGGCAGGGCTCCCGGGGGCTGGGGCCGCCGGGGAGGGGGGGATCCCGGTAGGACCGGTGGGAAGCGGGGGGCACCGGGCACGGCGCGGGGATGCCGCCGGGAGGAGCGGGGGGACAGCGGCAAAAGGCGGGGGAAGCAGCCGCTGGGACCTGCGGGGCGGGAGGGAACCGGGGACCGACGGGGGGAGCCCCAGGGGCACCCCCCCGGCTCCGCTCCGCGTTCCCGATCCCCAGCGGGAGGGGAGGCAGCTGCCGTTCTCTCGGTGCCCCCAGAGGGAAAAGAAAACGGGGCCGCGGAGTTACCCCGCGGCGGTGCAGAACCCCCAAAGTCCCGGACCCGAATCACCCCGACGGGACCAGGGCGCGGGGATGTGGATGTGCTGCTCCTGGCCTGCTCTCCCCTTCCCTGCTGACAACTTGCTCTCCTGCACAGCGCTGAGCAGAAAAAATCAATTAATTTTTTTTTCCCATTATAAAACCTGCCGCCTCCCCCCTTGTTTACCGATGCCTCCAAGCTGGCCTGGATGTGCAAAGTGGAGAGGGTTTCAACCCCTCTCTGTCTATGGGCTTTTTTCCTTCTTATCTTCCCCCCCCATCCATTTCCATCCTTTTTTTTTTGTGATCTTAAGGGAAAGGTTGGAAGTGCTGGGTGTGCTTCAAAGGGAAACAGCCCTTCAAGTTGCTAGCAAAGGAAATGGCCCCCAAAACAATGGCAGTGGCTTGGCATGCTTGGGTGGCATTTCCTCCATGGCGGAACACTGTCTAGGGGTCCCCAGTCCTCAGGAGACTGCTGTTTTTCTTATTATTATTATTATTATTATTTCCATTAAAAAGCTATTAAAGGGTGCTGGGATGAGCCGCTGTGTTGTCTACAATGTAAATTTGCAGTAGGGTTGTGCCAGGTCGCCTGGACAAATTCATGCCAAAGTCTTGGGGCATGATGCTACAGGACCCAAATTACCCCATAGAATAGAAATGCGGTGAAAAGATGTTTAGGCACCAAATTGGTGGGTTCAGATGCTTTCAAACATCCCATCTTACTCTATGGGGTCCACATGGGATCATAGCAAAACTAGTGATGGGAGAAAAATGGGAAAGAAGAGAGAAAAACGAGGGATGATGCTTGGTGGTCCCACTGCTTCTTCCTTGTCCCCATGTCGCCGGCTGAGCAGTGAAATTTGGGGCTGGGCACGTTGGGGGTTAAAGCTGGCTGCCCGTGTCTATCTATAGAAAAGTCACATTTTTTTCCTGATTTTGGCTCTACAGAGGATACGGCACTTTCTGCCCCTGGGTCGTGAGAAAAGCTGCTGTGGGTTTTCCCAACGGGCGCTGTTCCGCGGACCAGCAGCTTCTATCAGCCCATTTATAAATAGCCCAGAGCTGAGGGAGGGAAGAAAACCCCATGGCTGGGTGGGTGCAGGCTCGTTTCCTTGAAGGGCCATGCAAGGCAGTCTCTTGACCTTTCTTCAAGGCTCTTAGGGGCCATTTTTCCAGTCAGATTCCTGCTCAGCCACCGTTTCCGCTCTGGAGAAGCACGAGCCGAGCGTATTAAACCCAAGCCGTCGTCTCTCGGTTTAATTTCTGTCTCGGTTTCACATGGCCAGATCGCCTTAATCCTATAGAGTGAGGGCATCAAACGCAATCCGTCTTCAGCCCATTAATTCCCAAGTGGTTAATAGCTTATAGCGTCCGGCTGGGCACTACAGTTTTGGGGAGGATGCTTTTTGCAAGAGGATTTGGGGAGTGGGGGGTGGAGGGGGCATTTTGGGCTGAAATGGTAGGATTTAGCCAGTGGGGGGAGAGGGGGGTGAGGGGGAGAGGGCAGCTCAGTGTTTCATACAGGTGCTGCAGTTTGCCAATGAGGTTGTGCAATCACTGCTAGAGGTGTTCAGGGATTTAAAGGCTTTTTCTGAAGGAAAAAAACTGGCAGATGGGCTGAAGCAGAGGGAAGCCCTCCCCAGGCAGATGCTTAGCTCAAGGCAGTTGGATAAAAACCTGAGTTTTTCATCCCAAACAGCAGCCGGGTGGCCCTCAGGGACGGCAGCAGGCGAGTGCCCCAGGCACCCATGCCGATATGCATATGCACACCCCGAGCAGCTTAATTTTTTCTATCTGTTTAAAGCATTAGAGGATTTGCAGTGGCAAGGTGGCTAAATCTGGAGCTGATGCCAGCAGCAGCACCCGCGTGCCAAAGGGTTCGGTCCTGGTCCCCAGGGAGCTGACCTCTGGTGCTGCATCCCCGGCCTGAGCTCAAGCATCTGCTATTCCAGCACTTTTGGGGGCGATTCCTCCTGCACGAGGGGCTGTGGGTCAGTTCTACAACGAAAAAAAAAAAAGCGATTTTGGAAGCAAGCATCCTCCAGAAAGACAACATCTGTGTTTTGATAGCGTCGCTTCTCCCCAGCGTTCTGGGGGTGATGATGGAGCTGCAATCTCAGATCTCCGTTGCTGAAGGATGACAGAGAAATGCTGCGGCCACAGATTGCTGTTGAATTGCTTGTCACTAGGTTTCAGCGTTAATGCATGCTTGTAACAGCAAAGGGAGCTTGGTCTGGGGTAAGCGCCAGTGGATTTGCTGTGTTTTAGACATTTCCACATGTACGGGTACTAACCAGCAACAGGGAGGATAAGAACCACTGGAAAAAGGTGTCTGCTGAGCTTTGCCACTGATTCCCAGTGGGACTGGGAAAACATGGCTTGGGCTGGCTACACTGGGACAACTTCAGGCTGGTCCTGCAGCCTGCTTTTGAAATAACAGCTCAATGACATAGGAGCTCAGTGCAGAAGTGTTTGCTCATGGCCATGGTAACCCTGTGAGTAATTATATGCGTATTTGTTGCTATCTCTGATCTTGGAAAGATTTCAGGGGCTTTATCTTGAGGCAAAATTGATGGGAAGCCTGTGGCCGGGGCTGAGCATCTTGCTGTTCACTCCCTCTTGAGCCAATGTTGGTGCCCGGTTGCTGCTCAGCCCCAAGAACTTGGCTTTCTACCTTAACTTTGCCTGTTGTGCATAGCTTTCGCTGTGCTTTACCTGGGCCATAAAGATGCTGATGGGCTGAAAATCCCGAATTTTCATGGGGTGAAGAGTGCAGAAGTTGGGGGTGATTAGTTTCCAAATCACTGCTTTTCACTCCCAACCTGCTCTAACCCTTTGGCTTCCCATTTCTGACCTTAAATCAAAAATGCGAAACTACTTGTGTGACTTGGGCTCGTCTGAGTAGTTAATGAACCATCCTCTGTATTTTATGTTAACTTCTTTTAATTTAATTTATTATTTTTTTTTTGCGATGCTACTTGCGTTCAGGTGTCCTGCGCTGCTGTCTCCACCATGTTTCCCCCCCTGGGTAGGACTTAAGGTTTTATGTTCTTAGGTTGGGTTTAGCTATTTTTAAGCGCTGAGGTGTCCGCCCTCGCCCAGCCAGGGCTGATTTCTCCTGCCTTTCCTTGGCCAAACTGGCCCAAGCAGGGGACTGGGGGTGGGGTGGGGGTGGGGTGGTGGGTGGGGTGGGTGTGTGTTAGGACTTTGAATTTGTGGGGGGGAGCCTGTGTTATCAGCCGGCGCAGGGCTTCCTGCCTGGGGCCGCAAGGCGCCCTCAGGAAGCCGCGCTGAAGCCTTGCTGGGGGAAGAGCGGATGAATGCAGGAGGCTAAAAATACCCCCAGGCGCCTTGTTTTCATCTTCCTGCCCTGGAAAAAAATCCTGAAGAAGTTTGTGTGCACGTTGGGGGGGAGGCCGGGGGGGGGTGGGGGGATAAGGAGAGAAAGGGGGCTGTGAGAGCAGGGGCTGAGCTTGGGTGTGAGTTAATTTGTGGGTTAAACCCATCCAGGCTGTGCACTGATGCCCAAATCCCCAAGTTAGCTGCAAAATTTGCCCCAAATCCCCCCACAGGCCACGAGCAGTAAAGCCCTCCACCCCACCCGCATTTTTTCAGGGTGAGGACAGTGGAATGGGGACAGCCAGTGACATGGGGATGGGGCAGCCGTGCTGGGGTCACCCATGGCATTTAATTCTCAGCCCTGGAGGGAACCCAATGCAAACTGTTTCCAGGCACCCGACCTCGCCTGAGCAGATTATTTTCCAGCTGATCCTTTTCAGAGCAAAGCTGGGAAATAATCCCACCCCCCAGCAAGCCAGGCACCCCCCTTCCCTGACCTGTGGCACCCACTCTGATCCCCCCCCTGCTCCTGACTTTATTTTTGAGGGAATTGATGCTCGGGGGGGATACTTCGGTGGGGGCATTGACACCCTCACAGCCCCGTGGATGACACTGGGTTGGGGGGGGGGAGGGGGGAGCACAGAAGGCCACACAGCAGATTATCCTGGTTTAGCACTTGTGGGGGTGGCAAAGGACCTGGGAGGGTGCAAAATGATGCGGGGGTGCTGGCTGGGTGCCTGCACTGAAGCAGGTGCTATATGGGTTTCCCCCATAAAAAATGAAACCGCCCAGGGGCAGGAGGTAGCACCAGCCCCAGGGCTGCATGGCATCCTGTGGGCTCCTCCAAAAGCATTTGGGGAGCTTGGAGATTTGTCCCTGACGCACCCGGCAGCCTGGGGCAGATGCTTTCCCATGCTTGTTTCATGGGGGGAAGTGGCCGTGGGAGGGGAAGGCTTTGTCCTGCATCCTCCGGCTGGCCGGAAAGCCCTTCCCATGGCGGGGAAGGAGGAAAAATTTCCTCCTGGCCCAGTCTCCAGGCGATAACATGCTTCTTCTTTCCTTTTCTTTGGAACAGGGAAATTTTCTAACAATTGGTGGGGTTGTTATTTTTTTTTTCCTTTTTTTTTTTTTTTTTTTTGGTAAAACTGGCACCTGGTTTTGAGTCATGTCCCGTTTTCCTGCTGGGCAGGTGTCTGCTCAGCTGTGCTGGAGGTGCACGTGGGGACAGGCTCCGTCTTCTCCGTGGAGGGGCAGGGAGTGGTGCTGCCTGCCTGGTACACCAGCCGCTCACAGAAAAAGCCCTATGTCACTTGGCTGCTGGATAAGGCTGATGCTGACCCCTTCCAGGTGACTGGGGGGACAGAGTGGGGAGGTGCCTATGGTGCCTTCAACATGGGGATGCTTGTGTTGCCCACAATGTGGGGAGGGTGCCCACAGTGGGGAGGTGCCCCCAATGGAGAGATGTCCATGGCACCCACGATGGTCATGGAGCCCACAGGGAGGGATGCCCATGCTGGGGAGTTGCCCGTGATGGAGAGATGCTTGGGGTGCCCATGATGGGAAGGTTCCTATGGTGGGAGGATGCTCCTGGTGCCCACAATGGGGATGTGCCTATGGTGCCCGTGGTAAGGAGGTGCCTATGGTGGTAGGCTGCTCATGGTGCCCAGTGGTGGGGATGTGTCCTTGGTTTCCTGTGCTGTGGATGCTCAGGGTGGGTGAGGATGGAGGTAGCTCATGCGACTGCTGCTGCTCCCCAAAATGTGGAGTTTGGAGGGGTTTCCCCTCCTGCAGTGCCATCCAGGACATGTCCGAGCAGGAGTTTTCTCTGCGCAGATCCTAACATACCTGGATGGGGTGGTGAAGGTGGAGGAGACAGAGCTGAAGCCCCGCGTGGGGTTCCTGTACCCTGTCCTCACCCACAACATCTCAGTTTTCATCAACTCCACACGGGAGCGTGACTCAGGCCAGTATATGTGCACTGTCAACGTGGTGGATGATGCCACCAGCACGGGCAAGAACGTGGCCGTCATCAACCTCACGGTGCTGGGTAAGGGCCTGCAGGGCACCCCGCTCCCCTGTGCCCCCCTGTGGCCCCGGGGCCAGGACTAATGTAGTGCCTGCAGTGCCGCCAGCCCCCCCCGCCTGCCAGCTTCGGGGCAGCCCCGCGGTGGGGGCCAACGTGACGCTGAGCTGTGCCTCTGAGAAGGGCAAGCCCTCACCCAGCCTACCAGTGGCAGCGCATGGCGCCCACCCTGCAGGTCTTCTTCCCCCCTGCCCAGGGTAAGGTGGGGCTGGGGGTGGGGGGAAGCTTTGGAGGGGGGGGAGAGGTGGAGGGGCTGGGGTCGTCCCCTGAATTCTGCCTGCTCCCAGCCTTGCTGTGCAAAGGGGGGAGGAGAGTGAGCATCCCTGTAACCTCGCCCCCTGCTGCTATCCCTGCTGGACCGAGGTGGGTGTGGGGCAGGGGGGTAGCCATGGGGCAGCACCCCAATTCCTCCCCTGCAGACCGGGCTAGGGGCACCCTCAAGCTGACGAACCTCTCGCTGGACATGTCGGGCCTCTACAAATGTGTGGCTGAGAACCAAGCAGGCTCAGCTGAGTGCCGCATCATCCTGGAGGTGCACTCAAGTGAGTACGTGTCCGCAGGACTGGGGAGGGGGGCACGATCCTCGCAGCGAGGTGAGGGAGAGGCAAAACTGCCCCTGCCACTTCTCTCCCCGCAGCCAGGGAGGGGGCCATCATCGCTGGTGCCGTGCTGGGTTCCCTGGGTGCTCTAGCTACTGTCGCCTTCTTTGCCCGCCGGCTTGTCGGCTACCGGAGGAAGAAACGTGACGGCCAGGAGGAGGCAGCCAACGAGATCAAGTGAGGGCAGCCCCCACACACCCCTACCCCCCTCCCCGGGACAGAGGTTCAACAAGTTATTGCTGCGTCTCGGAATTAATGAGGGGAGGAGATTTCTGGTCATCATTAGATTTCAGAGTTAACGAGGATATTTTCCACCTCTGTTCCCCCTCCCTACTGGGTGAATCCCTCTTTCTGTCCCCTGCATGGGGGGGCTCCTGCAGCTCATCAGGTCTGAGTTCTTTTGTTGCTTTGGGGGCTGGGGGGTGTCAGCCAAAAATACAGGTGATTTTGGGAGTGCGTGGTGGGGAGCAGCCGGATTTCCAGCAGGTGTTGCCATTCTCTCCTCTGTCCACAGGGAAGATGCCGTGGCCCCCAAAACCCCCTCCTGGACACGGACCCCCCCCGCAGATGCCATCTCCAAGACCAGCACCTTGTCTTCCATTGCGGGTGCCCGGGACAGACCCTATGGGGCCTCACCCCTCTCCGACACTGCCTCTGTCCTCACAGCTGCTGGCAGCTACCGGGGACCCCACCGGGCTGGGGGATGCCCCCCTCCCACCAACGGGGCCCCCTGGCACCCCCCGCAGCCCCCTGCCACTCCAGGGGGGCTGCCCCCTTCCAGCCTGGCACGGGCAGGTGCTGTCCCTGTCATGGTGCCAGCACAGAGCCGGGCCGGCTCCTTGGTGTGACCCCCCGAATAATGGGATTGTCCCCCTCTGACATCTCACCCTGCCCACTTTTGGGGGCTTTTTTCCACTTTTTTTTTTTTTTTTAAGACACCTGGAGCAGCTGGACTTGTCCTGCGGTTGTTTAATGGGTGTGGGAGGTGCCCACGCTCCGGGTTTTGGTGGCCCGAGACTCCCCGCCGATGCCAGCACCCCGAAACAGCCCCAACTGGAGGAGGGGTCCTCTTATTTTTTTTTTTTGTTTTTTTTTAATGTATCAGTGGTAATGGGGCATTTTTCATAAACGAACATTAAAGGTGTTGGGAGGCAGGGGGGGGTGGAGGTGGCTATGGGGGGAGGTGGGAGGAGCACTTTTTTTAGATTTTTTTTTTTTTGATTAAAATGCTTTGGGCTGATTTTGTGAGGATGCGGTGGGTTGTTGGCCCCATGTCACACCAGGCAGCCAGGGCCTTTGGGGTCATGCTGACGGTGTGTGTTAGTGCACCACTTGACCTGCTGTCCCTCGCTGTGATGTCACAGCTTGCCATGTCTGCATCACACCTGCCGTGACCGGTGGTGTGATGCCTTGGTGGGGCGTGTGGCATCACAGCGTTCAACTCTTGCCTGTGTGACTTCAAGCCGGCTGTCACGGGTCCATCAGTGATGTCACACATGCCTGCATGATGTCACACCCAGCATCATACATCCAGTTGTGACATCAGACACACCTGTATGATGTCACTCCAGCCACCACATGTCCTGTGGTGATGTCACAGCGCCCACCGAGGGCTGCAGAGTATCACCAGAGCCAGCTCTCGTCCCCCAGGAGTGCCACGCACACTTGTGTGATATCATGCCGGCCATCACATGTCCACCAGTGATGTCACACATGCCTGTCTGATGTCACACAATGTCACACATTGCGTGCTTGCCAGTGACATCATGCGTGCAGGTATGACATCACACCAGACATCGCGGTTCGACTGGGTACCCCACCCCACCCACCTGTGGCTGTCACAGCTCCACCAGCATGACCTCACTCCCCCATCGGGTGATGTCTCTCCCGGCGCCGTGATGTCCCCATGGTGGCAAGGACAGCCCGGCCTCTGGCAGGGACCTTTATTGGGGCAGGGGCGAGGGGGGGCCCCAGCTGCGGGGGCCCAGGGGATGCATGCGGGGTCAGGGCAAAGCGGGGGCTCCTGCGCCTTGACGACTGAGGGGGCTCGGCAGGGCAGCTCCGGTGGGCCCTGCAAGCAAGAAGAGAGCAGAGCAGTCAGACTGCATGCACGGCCCTGCCTGTACCTGCACCCTACACCTGCACCCTGCTCAAGCCCTGCTCCTGCATCCAGCTGCTGCGTCCTGCACCTCCTCCATGTCCTGCCTGCACCCTGTCCTTGCACCTTCTCCCTGTCCTCCACTGCCCCTGCTCCTACCTGTCCCCTGCCCTGTCCAGGCGGCTGGGGCACTAGGGTGACCTTTGGGTTTGGGGAGCAGAGATACCCAGCCTGGGCACCTTTTTTCCAAGGACCTCAGTGGGGAGTGGGAGCTGAACCCAGCTCACTGTGGGCTGGAGCTGACACGGGAAGAGACCCTGCTCAGGTGACTCAGAGAGGCAGTCCTAATGAGCCTTGTGGCCTTAACAAGCTTTGCAGCACTGGCAATCGGCAGCTGCATCTCTGCTGCATCCTCACTGAATTTTCACTGCAGTTCCATTGCACCCCCACCACATGCCCATCTCATCCCAAGTCCATGCCCCACTGCATTGTCGTTGAATTCCAATTACATCCCTGCTACAGCCCCTCCTGCATCCCAGCTGCATCTGCACTCCAGTGCCCTGCATGGAGCTGGGGCAGCAGCAGGATGGCACAGCTGCCAACCCCAAAGCAGTGTTCGGGGGTTGGGACTGTTCCCTGCACCCCCGGCACCCCCAGCATCCCCAGCCCCACAGCCCTGGTACCGTGGGCGCTTTTAAATTTCCCTTTTCCTGCCAGGAGACTGTGACACAGGCTTTTAAAAATAGCATGTGCTGAGGCGAGGCGTTTGGGGTGGTGTTGCTAAGGGAGAAATTCAATTCAAATCTAGGGCTTTGCCTTCCCCGCCGTTCCTATGCTAACTACTACGGCGCACCCGCAAAATTAGGGCAAGGCAGGGCTGCCTGAATACCTCCTGCTTGCTTTTTGACTCCTGGAATAAGAAAAACCCTTCTCCAGCCCAAGTGGTCCAGCAGGAGCTGGGATGGGGAAGGCTACTTGAAGAATCCCTGCTTTAAGAGTAAGGAACATCAGGGGGTACCTAGTCACCATTGCGGAGGTCTCCACCACGGGTGCTGTTGGCGCACTCAGCATCCTTGGTTTTCCGGTCCATCTCCCCCTCCTTGATCTTCTTGCGGGTCATGTGGCCACGAAAGCTGGCCTGGATCTTGGCCGCCGCCGCGTTGGCGTCGGGGTCGTCCAGGGGGATGTCCAGGATGTCCTCGTCCAGCTTTGTGCAGGCTCCCTCCTGCTGACAGCGAGGGGGCAGTTACGGGGTGGGGTCCCTGCTTTGCCCCATACGAGGAGCTCCTAAACCTGGTCTTTTGCTAAAAAAAAATCAAGGTCCTCAGGGGACTCATGGTGCATGTAAGCAACAGAGCATGGTTACAGTGTCAGAAAGGTACTTTAACCCTGCTCTTTCCCATCACTACCCTCCAATACCACCCTGCCACAAACACCATCTAGACCAATGCACTGCTAGGGCCAGATCCCAGTCCCGAGTGCTTCAATACCAGGAGGGGCCATCCAGGGGAACAGAGGGAGGTTTTGGGGGGGTCATCACTTTCACCCTGCTTTGCTCCTGCTGACTGCCCAGTCTTTTTAACCAGAAGTGCTGCAAAATGCTGAAAATCAATGGGAAAATTGGGAAGGAGTGGTGGTGGCGAAAAAATCACATTTATACCCTGTTGAAAATGCACAACCTGTGCATTGCATCCTGACCCCAAAGCATGTCTCCTTATGCAATGCCCCCCCCATATAACGCCCTACAGCCCAGCCCCCTCCTGCCACTGCAGTTGGAGTGGTCGACCCCCATTAAAGTTATCACTGCTGAGCAGTGGAAACAGGTGAAAAACTGGGGAGGGAAAAAAAAAAAAAAAAAAGCACATAGCATTCAAATGGGACCAGAGGGGGCTGGCATTGGGCACCCCACTGCCACTGCATCCTTCACATCACCACCCCTGTTTGCTTTAAAGGACTTTTTGAAGAGTTTTTTTGGTTCTTTGCAAGCTGCATGTTTGGGCTGGGGGTATGGCAGCCGTGGCTCATCCCGCCCACGAGAGAAAGCGCCCAGGACTGATTCATGCAAAAGTGTGCACCCTGGCCAGGTGTGTGTGTGTGTTCCTTTTCTCACACGGGCTCTGTGGGAGCACTGGGGATGCATGGGACACTAAAGCCCTGCACTGCCTTAGAGGTGACACGATGTCACTGCAAAGTGGCACAGGAGGCACCGAGGTTTGTTGAACTGATGGAAAGGGGGACAGGATGCTTAAGTGGCAGGTCCAGGGTGGAAATGTGATAGTCAGGGTAGAAATGTTATAGGCGGGGGGGAAATCCTATACCTGCAGGGGAAATCCTATATCTGGGGTGGGGGGGTGGGGTGGGGGATTTGTATAGCCATGGTGAAATCCTATATCCAGGGTGGGCTTTGTCGGGGGAAATCCCATATCCAGGGTGGGCTTTATCAGGGGAAAATCCCATATCCAGGGCTTTGCCACCCCAGATGCAGCCAGAAGTGCTCTAATGCCAGCTGGGGCAAAAGGTTTTTTTAAAAAAAAAAGGAGAGAAAAGGGGGGAAAGGCAGGAGAATTAAAAAAAAAAAAATGGGATGAAAAGGGGAAAAAACATATGTTCATTCTGCTGGATCTGCTCTCTGAGCTGTCTGGTGACTGGGTGGCAATGGGGGCTCACCCTGGGGTGAGGCTGGAGGGTGCAGCACTGCGATCCCCTCTGTGAGCAGGAGGAAGCACCAGATTCTCTCTTGGCTGTAAGAAACCTTCACTGCCTCCTGGAGAGGCTTTTGGGGGGACGTAATGCTGGAGAAGAGCAGAAAGAGGGGTCTGCCTGCTGGGTCTGGGGAAAGGGGGGAGTTTCCTGCCCTGCCCCATTGGGATGCCATGCAAAACTGGCTGGAAAAGGGATATTTGGAGTGCTTTCCTCCGAGCCCCGGCAGCACCCATGGGAGCAGCAGGGATCTTGGGGTGCAAGGCTTTGCAGCAGATCTTGGGGAGGGAATGGAGTTGGTTTGGCTCCTGGGTGCTGCACCCACAGTCCTGCAGCATCGTCCCCCACAACAGCACAACTCCCCCCCCCCCATCCCTGCCACCGTGCCTTGCACAAAAACAGGAGAAAAAAAAAAAAAAAAAAAAAGTAATTAAAACCAGAAAGCCGGAGGGCGCGAGGTACATACGTTGCAGCAGTCCATGGTGATGAGGGGCTCACGCAGGGGCTCGCTCTCCCGGCGCAGGTGGCAAGTTGAGCGGAGCTGCTTGCCTACGTAATGCGCTTCCTCGGGGCGAGCCTATCAGCCCACCTCCCCGCCAGCACTGCTGCTCCTGCCAGGCTTGGGCTTTAGTTTTTTAATTTTTTTCCCCCTTCTCTCTCCCTCTCTCTCTCTCTCTTTCTCTCGCTGCCTCCTCCAATTTCTCTTGCAGCAACTCCCCTCGCCTCCAACTCCCTCCTAATGCTTAAAGGAGCCGTCAGCCTGCGCTGGGGCTTCATGCAATATAAATCCAGCAGTACAGAGGATGCTATCAAATATTTAATGGGATGGGCTCTGTGCCTATGGCATGGGGCTTTGGGGCTTGTAATAGGGCAGGGGGCTGTGCTTTGTGCTCAGCGGGGCTGATTTAACAGGGTTGTGCCTGAATTTGCGCTGATTTGGGGAGGGGTTGCACCAGGGTCATGCACACATAGCTGAACTTGCAGCAAGTGGGGGTGATGTGACTGCTTGGGGGTGATACTTAGCTCCTACACTGGGGGCTTTGCCCCCAGGTTTGCTTTTGTGGGAGCAGAGGGAAACCTTTCCGCACCAGCTCTGACCTACTTAGAGCTCAAACCCAAAGGAGGGCCAAGGATGAAGATGGTGAGGCTGGGTAAGCACACAGGGCATGCCTGCAGCAGCATCTGCTTCCCAAGTTTGGGATGTTTTCTATCAAAACATCCGAGCCCAGCCACTTTCCCAGCCCTTGGGGGCAGTGCGCAGACCCCTCAGACCACACCAAGATGGGGGACCCACAGGGCACCTTAGGGGGTGCAGCCTGCAGCCCCCTGCATCACCCACCTCACATGCCTCGAATCCATTTTGGGGTTGCTAAGCAACCACTAGACTCGCCAGTGGGCTTCATGCACTGGTGTTTGCTCCAACCAGCCCCCAAAACATGCTGAGCCCCTTTCCACCCCCCCCCCCCCCCCGCATGGACAGGGACCCCTGGGCAGGCTGGTTTGTGGGGCTGCACCTGCTGTCCCCCACCACCAGCTCAGGAGTCTGGTGGCACCGACCTGACTCTTTGATGGCATCACCAGTACCCCTGTTCACCGCCAAGGTGGTCATCATCCCTGATCCGTTGTCATCACCGTCCCCATTCCTATCACTGTCACAGTCCTCACTGCTGCTACTGCCACCATCCCCATCTCCGTTGCTGTCCCCATCCCCTCCCTTTATCCCTTTCTTTATCAGTACCTCTGATCCCATCCCTCTCATCATGCCCACCCATGTCCCCATTCTCATCCCTGTTCCCACTCCCCATCCCTGACATCATTCCCCTCATCATTCCCACCTATGCCCCCATGCCCAACCTTAACACCATCATTATCCCTGTCCCCCTCCCGATCCTTGTCCCTATCACCATCCCCGTTCCTGATCCCATCCCCATCCTCATTTCCCTCATTGTCTTTGTCCCTGTCCCCCTCCCCGTCCCTCACCCCATCCCCATCCCCACATCCCCATCCCACTCCAGGGCCCAAGAGGGGGTGGGAGGGGTCCACAGCTACCACCCCCCCAGGGCGCATCAGCCGAGGCAGCACACAGGGGAGCAGGGTGCTGGTCGAGCATCCCTTGAATCCCTGTGAGCCACTCGCACCCGCTCTCCCTGAGCCAGTTTCGAGTTGCTGCAAATGCCACCTCTTCCCACCAGCGAGGGGAAAAAAATAGCTGCGCTCCCAGCACCGATCTGCTCCTAAAAGCCTGCTCCAGCTTCAAGACAAAGGCTGCACTGCTCAGACGGCGCTTTTAGATGGGAAACCAATCCCCCTTCCCTTTTTAGAGCCTCCAGATTGATCGCTGGCTCACGGCTGCCTGCTCCAGCAAAGCAAGATGAGGCATTTCTTGGGGAGCGGAGCGAAGCTGGGGTGATCTATGCATCACGGGGATGGCTCCAGGAAAATCTGTGCTAGTGGGAAGGCCCCCCCAAAATCACTGTGCAAAATGTTGGGAGCATCATCCAATTACATGCAAAACCTGAAAAATTCCACAGTTTGGGTGGAGCTTTGTCCCAGGTCCCCCCCCCAAAACCTGCTCCATCCGCAGGCCCCCAGTCCTGGCAGAGCCTCTTAGCACCGCGAATCCCGCAGGCTGCGGAGGAGGGACGCAAAATGCCAGAACATTTCTAATCATTAGCAGTGTTTTGAGCCTGAGCCAGCCTGTGCATTTTCCTACCAGGGCTGTTGCTCATAGTGGGGGCCCCCTGAAAACCACCCGCCCTGGGTGATGCTTTCCAGACACTCAGCATCTCCTAAACATGACCCTGGGATGCAGAGGTGAAAACTCATGTCCACGCAGTGCGGGGCTGGAGATGGGTGATCATGTCACACTTGCAGGGGACCACACATTCCAACTTGGGGACACGCCGGTACTGGCACCGAGCACTTTGGGGAGCGGCAAGTGGAGCTGCCAGGGCTGGCAGTCAGTGAGGCGGGGTCACTGTGCAGCGGCTGGTCACTGGCCCCACACGGGGTCCCCGCCAGCTGTCCCCATCCCTCCTTCCTGTTTTTCTCAGGCCGCATATGGCAGCTCCCAGCGCCAGCTCTGAGGGGTGGCATGGCTTCCCCCCGAGGTATGCGGAGGGGGGTGGGGAAGAGGCTGCAGACCCACCCAGAAACAAGCAGCCCCCCATAACCCCGTTTTCAGTGATTTTTTTTGCTGGGGAAGCCTGGGTTTCATCGGTGCTTCCAAAACATGTCCAGGAGGAATCATACCGGGCCCCCCTCAATCACAGCAGAGCTAGGAAGGTGTCTCAGCACCTCGTCCCCACTCTTGTTGGGGGGGTGGTGGAAGAGGAGCAATGTCACATCCCTCCTTCTTACAGGGACGGTATTAAATTTTGACAACCTCCAGGGATGCAGGGGCCTAAATATAGAGTATTAAATATCATCTCAAGGCGTGCATCTTTACAGAGATTTTCTCCCTCCTTCGGTCATGCTGGAAGGGCAGGGTGCACTCAAACGAGCTCTTAAATTTGAGCTTTATGTGGAGAGACCTCAGGTGAGAACTGCTAATAACTGCAGGGACCTTGGGAGATGATTAGTTGAGGCATTTTATTAAGTTCTTATTATGGAAGTGCCTCAGTGGCAGCGTGGGAGCCTATTTTCTGCCCTGAGAGACCACCTGGTAGAGAAATTTAGGTTTTCCGATCGTGGCTCCTCGTTTTGGGTTAGGACGTTTCCAAATGGGGGATGAGGCGATCGCTCGGGCTGGGTCCCGAGGGAGGCGTCCCCGTTACAGGGGGCACTCGGAACCCGCTCCCGGGCTCCGGGGGGGCTCCGGGGGGCTCCGGGGGGCTCCGGGGGGCTCCGGGGCCCGCTCCCCGCCTCGGCCCCCTCGTCCCGCCCGGCGGCGGAGCTCTCTGGAGGCCCGAGGCCGGGCTCCCCTGCGGGCCGCTGCCGGAGCCGGAGCCGGAGCCGGAGCCGGAGCCGGAGCCGGAGCCGGAGCCGGGGGCCGCTGTCCCGGCCCTCCCGGGATGGCCCCGAGCGGGCGGCCCCGGGGCTCGAACCGGCGGCGACACCGCCGGGAGGGGCGGGAGGAGGCCCCGCCCCGCGCCGCCGCCAGGGGGCGCCGCCCCTCCCCTGCTCCCGCCGCGCCCGCGCAGAAGCCGCCCGGGGCCCGACGTGCGCGGCGGCGGCCGGGGCGGGGCGGGGCGAGCGGTAGGGCCCGGCCCTCAGGCCCTGGTCTCAGGCCCCGGTCTCAGGCCCCGCCGCTCCCCTCTCCCGCCGGGCCCGACCGGGCCCCCAGGTGCCCCTCGGAGCGGGGAGGCGGCCGCTGAAGCACGGCCGCGGGGCACCCGGCAGCGGAGGGGCGGAGCGGCGCCTGCCCGGCCGCGTCCCCGCTGAGCCCGCTCCCGAAGGCGGACCGCGCCCCCTCCGCCCGGGCTCGGCCGCAGCCGCCACAGAGCCACGGGGCAGGAAAAGAGGCCGGCAGCCTCCTCCTGCCCCTCCCCGCAGCTGTTCATACTCCCCTTAATGAGGTCTCACCTCCGTCTTCTTTCCCGGCCAGCCTGGCCCCGTTCTCTCAGCCTGTCCTCATCCTGGTGCTCCAGTCCCCTGCTCAGCATCGCAGCCCTCCCCTGCTCTCAGTCCTGTAGCTCCGCATCCCCCCGGTACTGGGGAGCCCAGAACTGGACACAATACTCCAGGTGTGGCCTCACCAGGGCTGAGCAGAGTGGGAGGATCACCTCGCTTGACCTGCTGGCAACACTCTTCCGAATGCAGCCCAGCATCCCATTGGCCTTCTTGGCCACAAGGGCACATTACTGACTCACAGTCAGCCTGCTGCCCACCAGGACTCCCAGGTCCCTCTCTGCAGAGCAGCTCTCCAGCAAGTCAGCCCCAGACTGTACTGGTGCTTGGCATTATTCCTCCCTAGGTGCAGGACCCAGCACTTGCCCTTGTTGAACTTCATGAGTTTCCTCCCAGCCCATCTCCCCAACCTGTTCAGGTCCCATGGCAGCACAGCCTCTAGGGTATCAGCCACTCCTCCCAGCTTTGTGCCATCAGCAAACTTGCCGAGGGTGCACTCCATTCCTTCATCCAGGTCATTCATGAATAAGTTGGAAAACTCTGGACCCATTACTGACCCCTGGGTGACACCGGTGGCTACAGGCCTCCAACTAGACTCCGCACCACTGAGCACAACCCTCTGAGCTCTGCCATCCAGCCAATTATCAATCTACCTCACCGCCCATCTAGGCTGCACTTCCTGAGCTTATCTATGAGGATGTCATGGGAAACAGTGTCAAAAGCCTTGCTGAAGTCAGGGTAGATCACATCCACCGCTCTCCCCTCATCTACCCAGCTAGTCATCTCATCCCAGAAGGCTATCAGATCGGTTATGCATGATTTCTCCCCGGTGAATCTGTGGTGACGACTCCTGATCACCCCTTATCCTCCACATGGTTGGAGATGACCTCCAGGATGAGATTCTCCGTCATCTTTCCAGGGATGAAGGTGAGACTGACTGGCCTGTAGTTGCCTGGGTCCTCTTTCTTGCCCTTTTTGAAGACTGGGATAACACGGGCTTTCTTCCAGTCCTCAGGCACCTCTCCTGTTCTTCATGACCTTTCAAAGATTATGGAGAGTGGCGTAACAATAACATCACCCAGCTCCTTCAGCACCCATGGGTGCATTCCATCAGGGTCCATGGCTTTGTGGATGTTGAGTTTGCTTAGAT